GCCTTTTCCTCCAGCATGTGAGGCCCCTTCCAAGCCAGTTCCACCCCAATTTTTAAGAGCCCTATATTCAAACCAGTACATGTGCCAAGAGATAAGAGATGGCTCAGTGGCTAAGGTACCTGCCTCACAAATGTGAGGCTGTGAGTCTGAACCCCAGTTTCCCCTCATATGTTGGGTGCAGGCAGCTCATCCCAGGCAGCTCTTGTCTGTGATCCCCAGATTCACATGTGATTTCTGGTCACACTGAAGCCACTATAGCCAGGTACACATGAGAGCTGCAACTAAGGTGTAACCCACCCCCAGCAGGCATGATGCATGAGCACGGTGTGGAGGAGTGCCACTCCTGGCAAGCATGTGAGCACTTCAGCAACCTCCAGCTGGAATGTACATAACTAGACAGTGTGTGGCCACCACAACTAGAGTGGTGTGTCAAGCACCACGACAAATGAAGTGAGATGCCCCCCCACCCCGCCCGCCACCACCTCAGCAAGATCCTTGGATGAATACCTTCTGATACGTGATTGCTGATGTGACAAAGTAGGAGCACCACAACCAATGTGTGAGACGCCATCACAAGAAATCATCCGTGGTAAGGGGGAAGATAGACTAAATCCATAGCCTCGGCGTGCCTTATAATGGGCCACGTCTGCATGGAGCTCAGCATCCCTGTCAGATTTAAGTTCTTGAAGGCAAAGACAAAGCCTCCCATTCCCCTCCAAAGGCTCTTCATGGCAGTACCCAGATGCGAGTCACTCACTAAATACTCACAGGAAGACTGTTTATTGAGAGGAATCAGCTTTTTTTGGCCAGCTCCCCAAGCCCCAATTCTGGGAAAGGCTCAGAGGCAAGCAGGTCTGATGGCTATAAAACATGCACATGTGCAGTGAGGCATGAACAGACTCAGACACACATCCCGCCCACACAGAAGGCTGGCTCATAAATTCTTTCCGTTTCAAAGCAATTGAGGATTAATGACAACAAAACTAAGTGGGGGCTCAGCAAGCACTTCATCCCTCTTGAAAGTTTGTGAGTTTTCAAAATTTTCCTTGTTTCATTCCATGGACTACAAAAAAGCCAAGTGAACATCCTTACCAGGTGGGGATTATGACGAAGGAGAAGCATCAGGATGTTCTTCTCTAGAAAGGTTCATTATTCACTCTGGTGAATACAAGTCTCAGCTGCAGAGTCTGGGTTCAAGACCAGGCCCAATTCACTATGGGTACTTGGCCTAATCCATAAATTATTTCAGATTGCATGGCTTTTTCTCCCAGAAGGGAGCCACATGACGCTCTCCATAGCCATGCCACCGGACCTGGCGTCAGGCTGTTTCACTCAGGGTACCCCAACGGGGGAGGGTGAGACCCCTCCCTGACCCAAGGGTCACAACCCTGCCAGCTAAAAACCCCCAGAACCCAACCACCACCATGCTCGAGGCCACTCCCCACATGTTTGGGTCAAGCCTCATGCGTGAGTGAATGTATTCTTGGACACATCATAAGGCACTCCCTACCCATTCTCCAAGAGTACCACACCACATTTGATGGGGTTCAAATGGTAGGCAACCAATCATAAAGGGAAATATATATGCTTATATACATATTTTCAGATATATATGCATGTATGCATATATATATGGAAGCTCACATCACTCAACCTTTAACAACATGTTAGTGATGTCCTAAAGAATGTCTTAATGGCCCCTGCAAAAATAGAACAATCTTCACACTGTTTCCTCTATGGATACTTTTTGTAGCATTTTCAAAGGTTTTTAATAACAAACAATACAAAATACGTTATTTCAGTTGTGCTTTGGGACAGGGATTGGGGCTTGGGATGGAAACATCCCAAATATGGTGGTGGGAAGGTGTAATGGTGGTGGGATTGGTGTTTGAATATTAAATGTAATCAAATATTGTGAACTACCTTATAAAATAAAAAAGTTTTTTTTAAAAAAAGTTGTTTCACATTACATTAGAATCAACCAACCAACAAGAAAAACAAAAAATCTTCCTTTAAGGAAGATGCATGTTGAAAGTAGACTATGGACTGAACATGTTTGCCACTCAAAGCCTCTTTTGCAGACCACAAAACCCAAAAGGAGAGAGAGAGAACAAAAGGGAGTGCCCTGCCACAGAGGCAGGGTGGGATGAGGGGGTTGGGGGTGGGAGGGATACTAGGATCCATGGTGGTGGAAAATGGGCACTGGTGGAGGGATGGCTATTTGATCATTGTATAATCTAAACCTAAGCACAAAAAATTATAAAAAAAAAAAAGAAAAAAAATCTTCCTTTACAGGAAATCTTGTTTCCTTTCCTACTTTCCACACCACACATGTGCTTCTTCAGTTAGGCAGAGCAAAGACTGAATTAGGGCGAAAGGATTGTGCTCCTACCACTGATTATAATATGACATTCTCCCCTGTCTTATTAGATGGCTTTAGAGAGTTTTTCTTTCAATATAATTGGAAAAGTTAAATTCAAAGTTTGTGCCAATGCGGGAGCCTTGTGGAAAGCGGGTTTGAGCCGGGCTCGGGGGAGCGGCGGGGACCTCATGGGAAGGGGGGCTTTGTGGGCCGTCCCCCACGCCCCACCGAGGTCGCCAGCTGCCCCCCACGAGCGGCTCTCCGGCACGGCCACGACTCCAGGGCACAGAAACCAATCTCTTAACTAGCTAACTTTTAATAGAAATTCTTCCAGGGTCAATAAGTAAAATAGCAGAAATTCAAAACCGCGCGGCCGCTATTGCGGCCACGCGACATCATTTTATTCTTAAACCAAGTTGTAGAAAGCAAATCATTTCACAACGCTGTTTCAGCATGTCTGATTGGGGGGGGGGGGTGGGTCGTAAACTCTAAACAATAATTGTGCATCTTCTATCGAAATAATCTATCTAGTCAAAGTAGATAGAGTATTAACTAGAACTCATCTGCCTCACAAAGAATTGGGAGGGGTGGGAGGTGGGGGTCTATTGGGGTTCGGGGTTAAAAATGAGTATTGGTAAAGGGAAATGTGTTTGGTATCTACATGACTGAGACCTAAACCCGAAAGCTCTGTAACTTTTCCCACAGTGATTCAATAAATAAATAAATTATATATAAAAAAAAAACAAAGTTTGTGCCAATGCATGGCAGAACTGACTTCAGGAGAGGAGGCTCCAACCTCTGTCCATTACCCTACCAATAGTAATTGGGAATAGGTAGTGGAAGTGGAGTCATCAAGGAAAGAGAAGAACCAAAACCAGACATGGCAGGGAAACCAATGGAGAAGGCAGGGCTTCAGAAATAAGTGCCCCACAAAACTCAACAGCAAAATCCCAACAATGACAAAAGCAGCAACTTCAATCAAAACTAGAGAGAGATTAACAGATTGTTCCCTGAAGACAATATATGGATGGGAAATAGGCCTATGAAAAAGTGTTCATCATCACTGATTATGAGGGAAAAGAATATCAAAGCAGTGAGGTACCACCTCGTACCAGTGAGAAGGGGTTATCAAATAGTCTGGAAACAATCAGTGTTGGTGGGATGTGATAAAAAAGAAACACTTATTCACTGTTTGTGGAAATGTTGTCTGGTACAACCTCAGTGAAAATGGTATGGAAACATTAAAAAATTAAAATAGAACTAGAATATAAGATCTCATTATTCCATTACTTGGCTTCTACCCCAAGAACATAAAAAACACTAAGGTAAATATATATACACACTATCCATTGCAGTGTTATTTACAATAGCCAAGTTCTGGATATAATGGAAATACCCAATGACAGGTGAGTGAATAAAGAGTTGGATAAAGACTTGGATATATTTACACACAATGGAATATTACTCAGCTATTAAAAAAGATAAATCTTGGCTTTTGCTACATGTATAGAGTCAGAAGATAGCATGTTAAATGAAATAAGTGAGAGGGAGGATGCATACAGGTTGATATCACTCAGTTGTGGTACATTAAGAAACAAAGCAAGGGAATGGACTGATCTAATGATAACAATGCCTTTGACTCAGGGTACCAAACTGAGATCTCCAAGCAGTGGGGGTAGGAGGATGGAGGGGAGGAAAGGAAGAGGTATACCAGGACTAACACAGGACAGAGGGTCTCTGGCACTTTGGTGACAGTGATGGTACAGTAATTTTGTGTATCAAAAGGATAAGCATTAACATCAAAACAATGTAGCTTGATGTTAACAATTTTAGATGGTGACAATTAAGGTGAAGCAATTCTAGAGTATCTCTCCAAACAAAGGAAGGTAGAATATGGCCTAGGATGGAGTTCAGAAATATTTCCTCCTCAAATCATTCTGGTATCATACCCTCCAGTTCAATTTGCCTTCACCTCAAGTCAACAGAAGACTCAGAGTTTCCCTGAAGCTGGGCTCTTCTGTGCCCAAGCAGAATACTCGGCAGTGCAAGTGGCATGCCAATTGTGAAATCCTTCAGCCTCCACCTCAACTGGTCTCTATGCCCTAAAACTGCTAAGACCACAGGCATTTGATTTTGGGTCCTAATTTGAGCGAAAGGATTCCTGCCACGACAGTGCCTCCCCAAAGCACCATTTCTCCAAAGAGGGCCTCCCTTTCCCTTGGCTAGACCTTTAGACTAGATAGAACTGGAGTTTTATCTTTAGAGATCAAGTCATTTTATGAAGTCTGCCTGATACTGAGTGTCCATACCTGCATGTCCTCCTTGTGCCCGCCATTTCTGATAATGTCTTTTGTTCACTCTATCCCAATCTCATCTGTCAAGTACAAACTACTACTACAGTCTTTCCCTCCAAGTGATATAATAAAGACCAAGCAATAGTAGTTGAACACGCGGTAAGTATGCAATAACTTAAGTTAACCTCTATTTTTGAACTTCCCACCACCTTGCCTGTCTCATCCATGGACTTTCCCTTCTGATGAGGTATAAGCCAGGGTCAGGGAGGAGCATCCTCCAGTCATCACCACCCCTGTACAACTCATGGACTGGCCTACCCAGACCCAGCTAGGAAACTCATTACCTCTCAGTGTCAGGTAGCCATACGCCAAGCTGGCCACTGCCTGTGCACATTTCCAGTGTTCTTCTCCAAAAATAATCCGCGAAAGGCTGACACAGCGAATCAGTTCCTTGTTTGCTTGGATGTTCTGCAGAGACAAAGAACAAATGTGGTTCTTTGGGAAGGAGGATACCCTCTTACCCACTCTCTTTTTTTGCTTTTTGGTACAATTTGTTCTATTAAAGTATAGAGTACTGATCTAAAAAGTCACCAGTGGAATTATTTTGTTGTCAACTTTAATTTATAAAACATTTTTTATTTAGCCTTTTTTTTATTTATTTATTTTTTAAATTTTTAATAGTGAGACATCATGAGGTACAGTTGTAGACTTACACATTTTTGTGCTTGGGTTTCAATTATACAATGAACGAATACCCATCCCTCCACCAGTGCCCATTTCCCACCACCACGGATCCCAGTATCCCTCCCACCCCCCATCCCCCCCATCCCACCCTGCCTCTGTGGCAGGGCATTCCCTTTTGTTCTCTCTCTCTCTCTCTCTCTCTCTCTCTCTCTCTCTCTCTCTCTCTCTCTCTCTTATTGGGTGTTGTGGATTGAAAAAGAGGCAATGGGTGACAATCATGCTTAGTCTATAGTCTACTTTCAGCATGCTTCTCCCATCCAGGGAGGATCCTCCCAACACCTTTATTTGGTGTTCCCTTCTCTATCTGAGCTCCCTTTTCCCCCTAGCATGTGTGGTTGGCCTCCAAGCCATGGAGTAAAATTCCTGGTACTAATCTCGGCCATTCTTGAATGTTAGTCTCCTATTTTGTTACTTTATGTTCCCCAGATGAATGCAATCTTTCTATGTCTATCCCTTTCTTTCTGAATCATTTCGCTTAACATGATACTTTCCATGTAGTACCATTTGTATGTAAATTTTGTGACTTCATCTTTTCTAACAGCTACATAGTACTCCATTGTGTAAATGTACCAAATTTTCTTTAACCAGTCATCTGTTCTCGGGCACTCAGGTTTTCTCCAGATTCTGGCTATTGTAAAGAGTGCTGCAATGAACAGACAATTGCAGATGTCACTTCGACTATACTTTTTTGCCTCTCTGGGATATATTCCCAGGAGTGGTATTGCTGGATCAAATGGGAGCTCAATTTCTAATTTTTTGAGAATCATCCATACTGTTTTCCAAAAGGGCTGAACCAGTCAGCATTCCCACCAGCAGTGAAGGAGGGTCCCTTTCTAGCCACATCCGCGCCAGCACTGGTTGCTTTTGTTCTTGTGGATATGGGCCAGTCTCTGTGGTGTTAAATGATATCTCATTGTGGTTTTGATCTGAATCTCCCTGATGATTAATGATGTGGAGCATTTTCTCATGTGCCTTTTAGCCATTTGGATTTCTTCTTTGTGAAAGTTTCTATTCATTTCATCTCTCATTTTTTTTATCATTTTTTTTATTAATGAAACACCATGAAGTACATTTATAGACTTATAAATTTTTGTGCTTGGGTTTCAGTTATACAATGATCAAGTACCCATCCCTCCACCAGTGCCCATCCTCCCCCACCACGGGTCCTAGCATCCCTCCCACCCACCCCCGTCCCACCCTGCCACTGTGGCAGGGCATTCCCCCTTGTTCTCTCTCTCTTCTTTTGGGTACTGTGTTTTGCCAGAGAGGCATTGAGTGGCAATCATGTTTGGTCTATAGACTACTTTTAGCATGTCTCTCCCACCCTGGGAGGGTCTTCACAACAACCTTTATTTGGTGCTCTCTTCTCTATCTGAGCTTCCTTTTCACCTAGCACATGTGGCTGGCCTTCAAACAAAACGGGAGACTAACACCCAGAAATGGCTCAGATTAGTACCAGGAATTTTGCTCCATGACTTGAAGGTCATCTCTCATTTTTTGATGGGATTGAATGTTTTCTTTTTGTGGAGTTCAACCAGTACTTTGTATATCCTTGATATTAACCCCTTATCGGATGTGTATTTGGCGAATATCCTTTCCCATTCTGTAGTCTGTCTTTGTATTTTGGTCACTGTTTCTTTTGAGGTGCAGAAACTTCTTAGTTTAAGATAGTCCCATTTGTCTATCTCTGTTTTCACTTGCTTGGCCAGCGGTGTGACATCTTTGAAGACACCATTAGCTTCTATGTCATGTAGGGTTTTGCCAACTTTTTCCTCAATGTACCTTATGGACTCCGGTCTGATGTTGAGGTTTTTAATCCACTTTGATCTTACTTTTGTACATGGAGTTAGGCAGAGATCTGAGCCCACTTTTTTGCATGTAGCCGTCCAATTTTGCCAGCACAATTTGTTAAAGATTACCCACTCTCTTACCATTGGAATTTGGGATGGAATTAACTCATTTTCTTTTCTTTCTTTCCCATCCTGCACCCAATACTTCAAGTCTCATGGACTGTACCTTATTCCTACATTCCAGAACTATGCTCTTCTCAATATAAGTCCCCCCCCCAGTATGAATCCATGTTATTCTTGTCCTTTACCTGGTTGACCACAACAGTCCCTCCTCAATGCTTCTGCTCTTTACCTCTTCACCAGTCTACTTTGTTTTGTGGTGGTGCCAGGTATCATAGACGCAGAACCTCACAGATGCAAGGCACATGCTCTACCCCTGAGTCACAAAAACATCTTTTCCCAGTCTATTTTCTACATCATACGCAGGGAATTTCTTTTAGTCCTTTATTGTGAGAAATTTAAATAATATACCAAAAAGATCATGGATAATGCTTTGCTTTACTTCACCAAGGAGGTATTCATGCTCCATCTCATCTTATACTTATGCTTCTCATTCACCCAGCCCATCCCTTTTAGGAAATAAATCAAGAATATTAAGTCATTTCATAAGCATCTCCAAAAGATAATTATAAATATATATTTGGTTATACATATGTGGTTATATAAATATAACCACAAAATCATGATCCTACAAAAATATTGACAATAACTTTTGAATATCAAATAGCGAATCCTATGAGTCCATACATTGAGATCAGTTTCTTGAATCTCTTTTGATCCACTGGTTCCACTTCTGTTTCTAATTTTTTTTTTTAGTGCAAGACTTTGGTTGAAACTGGGTCAGCTGGGCCATAGTGTTTCCCACAGACTTAAATTTTGTTAACTGCATCATTATGATGTCCTTCACATGTTGTTCTTCATAGCATTATTGCATTCTCCTTATTTTCCCATTCTGTCTTTATACTGGATTTAGAAATTGGATTAACTTTATTGTCAGCATTTTTTAAGAAAATCTATGTCATAGGGTCTCATCTGCTATTCCATTAGAAGATAGAAGACACCCCATTGCTTCACTTTTTGATACTGGCACAACTAGATGGATAAACTTATTAAAGATGGAAGATGATAATATCCTAATTCAAAAATTTCTTCTTCAGGTTAGCTGATAGTTCTATAAAGAGAAGTCTGCCCTAATCTATATCTCTGTCACCCAAATAGTATAGGTCATTTGAGAAGACAAGCTGCATAACTTATTTTCCTTAATATTCTGGCCTTCAAAATAATGTATTTTCTCACTAGCATCATCAAATAGTATTCTATATTATAGGTTTAGACATAGTCATGTTTCTGAAGATGGAAATCTAATTGCCAAAGAGGGTCCCTTAAGCTACTATTTCCCCCAAAGGTATTATTCCACACTCTTTTTGTGTTTCACATCTCATTTCATTTTCACTATGTAGCACTGTAGCACTGTCCTCCCATTGTTCATCATTTTGCTTGAGCGGGCCCAGTAACATCTTCATTGTGAGACTTCTTGTTACTGTGTTTGGCACATCCAGTACATCACAGGTAGCTTGCCAGGCTTTGCTATGCGGGCGAGATACTCTCAGTAGCTTTCTGGGCCTCTCTGAGAGGGGTGGAGGAATCAAACCTGGCTCAGCCAGGCCAGCCGCATGCAAGGTAAACACCCTACCACTGTGCTATCTATGGTCATCTCAAAAAGGCTTTGTTCCTGATCACCTTAACAGCTCTCGTTCCGTCCCTTACTATCCCATCTCACATTCTATTTGTCCTATTTTGTTCTACCAGATATTCCATTAATCATATCTGATACTGTAATTGTCCTCCCCCTAGAAAAGATAACTTGTTGACAGAAGTTTATTCCTCCTATTAACCACTGGATCCCAGTGCAAAGAGGAAGTAGTTATTCACTATTTGTTGAATGAATTGTTTCTATCCAATCGCAATGGTAGAATGTAGATGTAAGGGGTAAGACGTCTCAAAGAAAGCATAGATAACACGATCAAGTTATCTGGGTTTTGGAAATTTTACAGTCATCAATTTGTTGTACTAATCAATAAAAGTAGGCATTAATTTGCTGGTAACATGAACACAATATTTCAAGTAATCAAAGGTCTCAAGTATCAGCCTTGGTGCTAATGTTTGCAGTTTGTGGTGCTCTGGGTGACAGCCCTCTCAATTCCAGCTTCTTTTCTACTTGGAGACCACCAACCTCATAGTCATTGGAAGGATAATGAGTCCATGCCAAAGTGATCCAAGTGTATTATTTTCAATCTAAATGTAATCCATGGAAAGAGTCATCCATGTATACATTGGACTGATAACTCCTTTCCTGATCCGTCTTCTTTTTAACCTGATGTTTTATTTGCTCCAAACTCAAATGTACACAAACAAGCAAACATTAGAGGGATATTTCTCTTCATGCTTAAGAAACACATTAACACTACCGATAAAAGATGCCAAACACAGTAACAACAAAATCTCCAATGGAGACATTACTGGGCCCGCTCGAGCAAATCGATGAACAACGGGAGAGGACCTTTACCTTTACCTTTACCTTATAATACAAAAAGAAGAAAAAGGGCTGGATAGATAATACAGGGGTTAAGGCACTTGCCTTGAGTGTGGTTGTCCAGCTTTGATTCCCTGCTCTGCTTATTTTCTGCTTATTTTCTCCTGGACACTGCTAAGGGTGACTTATAGGCACAGAGTCAAGAAAAACTCCTAATCATTCCTAATCACTACTGAGTATGGCCCAACACAACACCCCTCCACAAAAGAAGAAAAAATAACATTTAGTTAGAAGATTTGAGGATACTCTGTAGACGAACCACAATAAATATAAAGGTGAGTCTTGAGAAAGAGGCATACTATGTTTTGGTCTAGTTTTTTTTTTTTTCATTTTCATCATCCTGTTATTCGTCGATTGCCTCGAGCAGGCCCCAGTAACGTCTCCTTCATCCTGGCCCTGAGGTTATATTCAAGGCTCTTTAGGAGAATGAGACCCATCATTGTTACTGGTATTTGGCATATTGGGTACGCCACGGGGAGTTTGCCAGACTCTGCCCCGTGGGCAGGCTACATTCGATAGCCTGCAAGTTTGTCCAAAGTAGGAAAGAGACAATAAGATGTCATAAAAAAAAAGTTCTGATAAGATGTTCTATAAAACACTGTTCTATAAAATCCAGATCCCGGACGAGAACAGTGCAGTCTTCTGCCCCCGCGCCTGGGTCTAGTTTAGGGGACCATAAATTGTGTTTAGATTATACTCCTAACTCTATTCAGAGACCACTCCTGGTGGGGTCGAGGGACCATAGGGGGTGTTGAGGATCGAACCCAGGTCAGCTGCATGCAAACAAATGCCCTACCCACTGTACTATCAATCTGGTCCCAATTTGTTTGATTACATTTGGTAAAAGGGGCATAATACTATGAAAGAATCACTGTAATAATGACTTAAATCCTAATGCAAAATATTTATTATTATACAAAGTGACCAAGGGGTTGTCAGGTCTTAAAAGCACACACTTACACTCCATGGTGGATAGGCCTGGTTAGTTCCTAGAAGTGATTTGTGAAATACAAACAGGTTCAGACCAGAATGACTACCATTTCTAAGTTCTCTAGGGAATTTATAGGAAGGAACATAGAGATCAATTACAGTATGTACATCTAGAAATGATCTATTGTCTGCTTCTTATGTGCTTCTTAACACCTTCTAAGTCATCTACAGATTGTTTTTTTCCCATGTGAACTTTCGGATCATTTTTCCCCTTGGTCAGGAATGACCAGGAAGTTAGTTTGTGACCTTTACTGTTGAAAAAATATGCTGTGGGAGCAGCTCAGTGCTTGTGTTCCAGTGATAAAGATCATCATTAACTCCAGTTCATGTTCCTGGATTTTGAATACTACTAAACACTAGCTCTGAGGTTCGTGCTGCTAGGTCCTTACCTCTCCCTTAGAAATTCATACCTGAATTATGACCTGTACCATGCCTCACACTTCTGGTCCTTGGTTTGTTTATGATCTACTGTGAACACATCTTGTCTGAGTCTCCCAGGCAGAATTCCTGACTGCCCTTCTTCTCAGTTGCCAGTTTCACTACCCAGTTTATACACAAAAATATCTCCCAAAGTATTTGGGGGGGGATTCACACCTGGCAATGCTCAGGGGTGACTCCTAGCTCTGCACTCAGGAATTATTCCTGTTGGTGCTTGGAGAACCATATGGGATGCTGGGGATTTAAGCCAGGTTGGCCATGTGTAAGGCAAGTGCCCTATACAATATACTATCTCTTCAGCACCAAAGACTAACATTCTTTTTTGGAGGGGGGTTATATCTGGTAGTTCTAAGGTTTTACTGCTCAGGGTCACTCCTGGAGGGGCTCTTGGGACCAAGGCTGTGGTGTTGGGAATAGATGGAACCCTGGCTGGCCACAGGCAGGGCAAGCATCCTCCTCTCTGTAGTATCTATCACTCTGAGATAAAATAATTATCCGCTTAAATATGGAAGTATAAATTTCTGAGGAGATATACTAAGCAACTCACATATGAACTGCAAAAGTAGACACTGGTACCCAACTAACCTCTGCTTTGTTTTCTATTTACAGGGGTGAAAATGTGACACCTCTATTTTGTAGGTTCTCATCAGTAGTTAAGGAAGAGATTTACTAACCATGGACATATTTTCAATGTAAACAAAATCATAGTGAGTTGGGTTTTTTGTTTGTCTGCTTTTTGCTTTACCATTTTGTCCTTAATCAGCTGAGTTACTTTCTTCTGTGACTGGGCTAATTTTTCCACGGGAAGAGACCAAATGCTTATGGCTTCCTCCTTGGGATCTGTGTCCTCGCCACTTTCTCCAGACGCACTTGGGGAGTACCATTCCTCTGTTTGCTGGTGTGATGGATTCTTGGTTTGTTGTGACCTGGAGATAGCAGAGGAGGACACGGAATCAGATCAGATCTTTGCCTATCTCGAGCAAATCAACATCCTTCCCAGATGTGTGCTAAGGATATGATTAAGGATAGAACTAGGTGGAACACTCATCTTACTCTCAAATCCAACATTCACACAGAAATGTGATGGATTAAATTAAATTGACGCACAGCCCTGCTACTTTCTAACTAGTAATCTAAGCTAGTGATGTAAAACAAGGTCAATTATGAAGTCTGTGAGATGAGATTACGGGATTAATTGAGAACCTCATAAATAATGTTAGCATATGTCTGGCATTTAGTGAGTGCTTTTTTTTTCACATTGGCTGTGTCTAGAAGGCTCCATGACTTGCTTTAATCATCTACAAATGAGTTAGTGAGTGGGAAGATTTCAAGTATCCTTTATGTTCTAAAATTTGGATTCAAACTGGAACATATAATTAAACAATATTATATGGTTAAAAAATAGAAAGAAAATCAACACTTTGAGACAACTTCACATGTCCTCTGATGTATTTCTTAAAATATTCATTATTTTAAGTAGCCGACTAAAGACAATGTGGTCCTAAAAGGAGAGGCAGGGATAAAGTATAAATTCAAAAGAAAAATGGTCTTCCTGGAACTGGAAAGAGAGCTCAAAGGACTAGAAGCCTAGGTTTGATCTCCAAGCACCAAGCTTAAAGTACATCAGAGCGCTACTAAGTATGGCCCCCAAAGCAAACAAGCAAAAATGGCCTTCTCATTTGTATTGTAGCACTGTAGCACTGTCCACTGTCCTTCCGTTGTTCATCAATTTGCTCGAGTGGGCTCAGTAACGTCTCCACTGTGACACTTGTTACTGTGTTTGGCACATCGAATACATCGCAGATAGCTTGCAAGGCTTTGCTGAGCAGGCAAGACACTCTCGGTAGCTTGCCGAGATACTCTCCGAGAGGGGCAGAGGAATCCAACCCGGTTTGACCTGGCTGACCGTGTGCAATGCAAACACCCTACCGCTTGTGCACTTCAGGCCCCTCATTTGTATTATAAACAAGAATGTTGAAAAAAACCCCAAGTAAGCTGAAAATATACCCCAGCCGGACCAAATGCAGATATCTAATTTGAATTCTAAAAATAATTATTGACATTATAAGTAAAGAAACTTAAATAATAAAGTCTCCCTTATTTTTTCTTTTAAGAAAAAGAAAAAGAAACAAGCCAAAGAGTAAAAGACTTAACCGGCAAATTCTACCAAAATCTTAAGAACCATCCAGCATTCATTGCCTACACATGCTTCAAAAAAAACTAAATAAGAGGCAAAGCTTCTTTACTCTTTTTTTTATGAGACTAACTTTACATTGTTACCAAAGCCAGGCAAGGATATAACAAAAAGAGAAAACTCAGTTCAATATTGCTGATATACACTAATACAAAACTCCTCAAGAAAATCTTAACATATCAAATTCAAACAGTACATTGATAATTATAGAGCTAAATATCCAAAACATAGAGTCACCAATACTGAAATCATAAGACCCAAACTTTATTGTTTTTAAATGTATTCTTTTATTTGTTTATTTACTTATTTTCTAATTTTTATTAGTGAGACACCATGAGGTACAGTTGTAGACTTACAAATTTTGTTCTTGGGTTTCAATTATACAATGATCAAATACCCATCCCTCCACCAGTGCCCATTTCCCACCACTGCGGATCCCAGTATCAATGAAATACAAATGGTTCCTGTCAAGATAGCAGGCTGTGGGTGGGGAAGCAGAAGAGGGAACTTGAGAACACTGGTGGAAGGAAGTTGACACTGGTTGTGGGATCAGTGCTAGAGCATTGTGTGCCTAAAACCCAACTATAAATGAATTTATAAATTATGGTGACTTATAACATTAAATTAAAAAAAGAAAAAAATCATACATCATGTCCAAGTGGGTTTCAATCCAGAATGCAAGGATGTGATATACCATATCAACAACAAAAAATAATAAAAGTTATATAATTATGTTAATAAATGTAGGAAAGCATTTCTCAAGATTCAACATTCATTTATGACAAAGACTCTAAAGAAAATTAGATCACAAGAAAAATTACCTCAAGAGAATAAAGGTCATATTATGAAAAAATACCTTAAGAGAGTCATGAAAAAATACCACAGTTAAACTTTTATAACAATGATGATCAGAGAGATAACTCAAAGATATGAGCACATGTTTTACATGCAGAAGGTTTGCGTTTGATCTCCTGAGCACTGCTAGGTGTGGTCTCAAATTCCCACAGAAAAAATTGAAAATTAATATATATTCTCCTGAGATCAAGAATAAAACCACCACTATTACTAAAACTAGCACTAAATATAGTATTGGAAGTACCAACTATAGCAATTAGACAAGAAAAAGAAAAAGCATCCAAGAAGTAAAACTGCCACTCCTTGCAGATGTCATTTAAAAAAATGTGCTGCTTTCTTGTTTTTTTTTTTTTTTGTTATTGTTGTGTGGGTCATACTTGACTGTGTTCAGGGGGTTCCTGTCTCTGCACTCAGGAATCACTCCTGGCAGCGCTTGGGGGACCATATGGGATAGGACCTGGTTTGGTCACATGCAAGACAAACTCCCTACCCTCTGTATTATCCCTACACCCTCTGCAAATGATGTTTTATACAAAATAACTAAGGGTATCTATAAAAATTATTTTTAATTTTAATTTGGCTCACTTTATTTAAAACACTATGGTTTGCAAAGTTGTTCATGATGATTTGCTACAGGTATTAAATACTCCAATGTCAATCCCATCACCACTGTCTCCTTCCCTCCACCATTGAATGAAATTATTTTAAATGATAAATGAATAAAGTCCCAAACTAAAAATGTATAACAAAAATTTTCTCGCATTTCTATTTATACACAATGAACCATCATAAAAAGAAACTGAGAGTTCTTGTAGCATAGTGATTGACCAGGCTCATTTGGTCAGAATGCTAAATACTTTATTGACATGACAAGGCCTGCCACCACTGAGGCCTGCCGATGTGGCACTTAAGTAGACTGCATGAGCCTGTAGCCTGAGTCTCTGAGTAGGTCCATGCCAATCTTTATTCCCTCCAACATATGCCTAACAAAATGCACTGGCAGGACAGATAAAACTGGGTGGGAAGTGTTTCAAAATTCTTGCTACAAAAATAGGTGGTAGGTTAGTAAAGCAGCATGTAAAAAGACAATGAAAAAATTTCTATGAACCATATTCAGTGCTTGTAAATATTTCTAAACGTCAGATTGAAAAAAAGATTCTCATTACTGAATTTGGAAGACTTGACCAGACTAATGTTAGCTAAGCATAATTTCAATAAAAAAAGAGATTTAAAGGCAGAATAAACCCCATAGTAAGTCTGTTGCCCATATTTGTTACTAAGAATAATGTAGTTATAAATAAATAACATTATTTATAATGTAACTAATAAAATTATATTTAATATATATTATTATAAAGAAGTAAAGAGGCTTAAGAATAATGTTTAAAAACAGTTGGAGCAGCAGCAAGGTGGCCGCCGCCTCAGAGCTTATAGAAAAGCCAGGTATGAGTCGGCGGTGATGGGGCAACTGCAGTCTCATGGAAAGGGGGCAATACTGGCTTGTCCTTCACGCCCTACCTAGGTCACAAATTATCCCCCAAGAGCGGCTCTCCAGCACGGCCATAACACCAGACACACAGAAACCAATCTCGTAATTGTCTGGCTCTTTGCAGAAATCCAAAATCGCGAGGCCGCTATTGTGGCCACACAACATTATAGGATTCTCATAACCATCTATAGAAAACAAAGTATTTCACAATGCCTTTTAAGCAATTCTGATTGTTGGGGGAGGGGGGAATTCTAAACAATATTGGTGCATCTTTTGTCGAAATAATGAATGTAATCAATGTAGAGAAGAGTTAAGTAGAAATCATCTGCTTCACAGGAGGGGTGGGAGGGGAGCATAATGGGGTTCTTGGTGGTGAATAATGAGTACTGGTGAAGGGAAAGGTGTTTGATCATTGTATGACTGAGACTTAAACCTGAAAGCTTTGTAACTTTTCCCACAATGATTCAATAAATAAATATAAGAAGAAAAAAAAAAGAAAGTTTTTCCTAAAAAAAAATTAAAAAATAATAAAAACAGTTCGAGGAATGCTGGAGAGAGAGTACAGAGGGTAGGGCACTTGCCTTGCATGTGAATGACCCGGGTTCAATCCCCTGCATTCCACATGGTTCCCCAAATTCTTCTAAAAGTAATTTCTGAGTGCAGAGCCAGGAGTAGCCCCTGAGAATTGCTAGGTACATACTTCGCACCAAACTCAAGGCAATCAAACAACCAAAACAGTTGGAGGGACCAGAATAATAGTACAGTAAGTAGGTACATGTAATAGGAATAGTAATAGTACAGTAAGTAGGGTGCATGTCTTGTATATGGTTGACCCAGGTTAGATCCCACATGCCCTTCATGGTCCCCTGAGCCCACCAGGAGTGATCCCTAAATACAGAATCAGGAGTAATCCCTTAGCACTGCCTGGCTGTGACCCCAAACCTTCCTCCCTCCAAATAATAACAAGTTTGAGAATGCATTTAGGGGTATCAGCTCTTGTATCAACTACTACATGTGAGAACCCTGAAACAGAAAGAGTATACATTGTTATTCTCATCATTACACTAGTAGCCTTAATGAGAGACCTCTGAAGGATATGCACTAGCAAATCAAAACCAACAAGAGTACAAAAACCAGATTTCTGAAGTTATGAAAAAGAAGAGTGGATTAGATAGAACATGCTCACCTGAGGTGCCATCGATTCATTTTTCCAGAGAATGAAGAATGAAAATAAAACTCATTACCGAACAAGGTTAAACAAAGGGAGGGTCACTTCAACACACAGAAGCTGTGCGTCTTAAAGACTGAAAGCTAGCTAATTTAAACCACAGATCTTATGTGATGTTCACAGGTCATTGTTGGTTCATCAGGCAGACAGTTGCTGGATGTGGTGATGGGGGAGGTTGTATTCAGGGAGGGAGAGAAGGACTATGTGCAGGTTCTCTATACTGTAAGCTCAGTCTTGCTGAGAATCTAAAACTGACGGAAAAGAAAGAGCATGTCTCAGTGGTTCAGGTTGCTTCAGAGAAATGGTGAACTAATGAATAGGAGCCAGAGAAATGCTTTGGAGTTTCTACATTTGAAAGATGTGGAGATGAAAAATGTGAAGGACATTCATCATTCCAAGGTAAAAGTTATCTGCAACAACTTTTGTTGATAAAAAGTTAAAATTTGCTGTTTATAATAAGGTTAAGTTTTGGAGGATATGTCTTTTTGATAAAATGGGAGCATTTTTTCTGAAAAAAAAAGTCTCTGTAATAAAATTTGCATATAAGGTTACTATATTGTGGGGCAATTTAAAGCTTGGAGGATAATTTTCTAATAATGTGGAAAAGATATAAACAAAGAAATTTAAATAGTTTTTGTTGTATAGGAGTCTGAAGGTTATTTCTAGTGATTCTTGACCCACTGGTGCCAGATCTGATGCTTAGTGCTTGGGCCCAGCAGTGCTAGGGGCTATAAGGGCCAGCCTGGCAATGCTCAGGTACCACCAAGGCTACACAAGACTGGTGCCAGGGTTGAAACTCAGGGCCTCATGAATGGCAAGACATGTGCTTCACCTCTCTGAACTATCTCACCAAGGCTGTCTGTATATTTAAGTAATTTTAGTTTAATATGTTACAAAAAACTAGATTATTTTAATAAAAATAAAATGACTTATTCTATTTTGTGATGTTTATAATATATACTTAGTTGGTATGCTCACTCTGGGTAAGAATTGCATGCTGAAAATTGGTAAAGAAACAAACAGAATAACTTCATAGTATCTGTACTGCAAACCATAATGCCCAAAAGGGGAAGAGAGAGAGAGAGAGAGAGAGAGAGAGAGAGAGAGAGAGATAAAGACAGAAAGAGAGGGGATGGGAATAAGGAGAGAGAGAGAGAGAGAGAGAGAGAGAGAGAGAGAGAGAGAGAGAACAAAAGTGCCTGCCACAGAGGTTGGCAGAAGGGAAACTGGAGTCATTGGTGATGGGAAATGTACACTAGTGGAAGAATGGGTATTGGAATACTGTATGACTGAAACCACTGAAACCTGGTTTCAACTTTGAGACTATGTATCTCACTGTAACTCAATAAAAAAGGAAAATAAAAGAACAAATTTTACAATAAAGTATTTAAATTTAAGTAAGAATTTTACCACCAAATACCTAGAAATAAATTTAACCAAGGAGGTGAAAGACATGGAAGATTATATGATACTCCAAAAGAAAACAAAGATACTAAAAGTAGAACTATGTTCATAGTTTAGCAGAATTAAAACGGTTAAAATTCCATTTAAAATCTAACACAACAGGCAAATTCAATGCAATTCCTACCAAAGTCTCACAGAATGAGGTCTGGAAGTAACATAGGGTTTGGGTCAGGGGTCTTGGGTTCTGTGGCAAAGCGGTGATATATCTGCTTACATCTAAACCTCCAGAGCCAATATTACAATAAGAATGGAATGTAAACTACAATAATGTGTAAAATTAAAAATGTGTCTTTCAGTAGTCAGGTTGAGGGGTGGTAGAAAACATTGGGGGGGGGTTGTCATTGGAGGAGGAATCTGGTCACAGGTGGTAGGATTGGAGGTGGAAGGCTGTGTGCCTAAAACCTATTATCATCAACTCTGTAAATCATGGTGTCTATACAAAATACAAAGCATCAAATAAAAACTTTTATTTCAAAATATAAACCACAAAAACCAAAAGAATTCTAAGAACAAAGAACAAAAATGGAAGTATACTACTCCCTGACTTCAAATTATAATATAAAACAATAGTAATCAAATCTGTCAAATCATCCCAGGCAGACTGATCTCTGGACTAAAAACTCTGTGTCCCTTTCGGAATGGAGGTGGCCAGATGCTTCTCCCTTCCATGCGGGCCCAGCAACCACCACACCCGACCTACTACACCATATAAACAGCCCAGCTCCACAACTGAACCTTATCGAGCCTCCAAGATGCCAAGTTATCCAAGGTAGATTAACCTTTGGGCTGAGAACTCTTTTACCTTCTCAGAAGGGAGTCAAGTCCATTCTCCTGTCCAGACAGGCCCAGCAATTTCCAAAACTCCTGAAGCACATGGCCACATATGAGGCCACCTGACACCTCTTCCAAATTTCACAGTACTAACACCTCAGTAGGAGCGCAGTAAGTTAGATGGGAAAGTTGGACTAGAAGCCCACCAAACGCAATGAACAAAGACACCACCACTGAAGACTCAACCAGCTCAGTAAATCCTCAGATTTGCTTAATATACAACTGTGAGATATGACAGTGATCACAAATTAACTTTTGTTGATGCAATTTCATCTAAATTTTGTTGTTAAAGCAGTGTGAAGTAGGTTTTTTTGTGCTTACTAGAGGGAGCAGGCTTATGGGGTGAGAGGAAAACTGAGGAAATTGATGGAAGGAAGACTTCACTGGTGGTGGGATTTGTATTGGAACATTGTATAACCAAAACAGCTATATTATGAACACCTTTTTAAATTATGATTTTGTAACAAATTTTTATAAACAGTTATGCTATTAATACGAAAACACATATAGATCAAAGGAACAGAACTCAGAAATATTATACATATGTATAGACAACTAACTTATAACAATACAGACATCTGACTTATGATAAAGGAGTAAAGAGTGTACAATAGAGAAAGGAAAGGACTTACAATAAATAGTGCTGGTATTATTGCAAGACATTCAAAAGAATGAATCTAGACCACTGTATTACACCAGACACAAAAATGAAGTGTTAGACCTGAAACCGTAAAATAAACAGAAGAAAATACAGGTGATATGACACTGCCCTTACTGAATACATATACAACAGGAGAAACTTATGATAAAAAAGCAAAAATTAACAGATGTGATTACATCAAACTTAAAAGCACAACTCTAAAGGGATGTTGTAGAAAAGCTGATATTAAAACACATTATAGAAGTGCAATCTTCTAGATGATATATGTACAAAGATTCTCATTTGACTTTATCTTCAGTGGTTGGTCCCATTGCATGAGGCCACTGAGTTTGAGGTTGAGATTCTGCAGTACTTACAGATGGAAGCAGTAATCCCAGTCCCTGTCATTGCTGACAGTGGGGATGCAGATGGGGCTGTCTTGCATCATCTTTTTTACCCAGAATCACGTGAGTCAGCTTTGGAAGAAAAAGTTAAGAAATTTGTTCTATTTCCCCTCCATTGGATGCTATTAACAACTCAGCCTACCCAAATATAATTCATCTTTAGCCCCCAAACAGACTATGCAGTTTCAGACTTAAGAGTGCAGACCCCTTGGAAATTAAAGACATTAGTCAAATTAAATCTCAAATAAATTTTCCTTAATTTCTACTCACTATTCCAAATTTCCTGACTTTTTTTTAACTCCTAAAAGTCATCACATTCACAGCTACAGAATCATTAATACTATAATGCTTTTTCAGTAAGATATTGTGCTTTTGCAGTTGACTGGCTTCAAGCAAAGCACTGCTCTCAGCACATCTTTAAGCATGGACAGCTAATTCATCTTGATCCCTAGGGCCATCCCAGTATTTAACAGAAATTTTGATTAGCTTCTATTAAATAGTGAAAAAGTTATGAATACACCTACTTTGGTAGCTATTCTTGTTAGCTGATGGCGGGGGGGGGGGGGGGGGGGGATTGCTGATTGAAACCCAACGTAATTTAAAATTATTTGTGATGTTCAACTCTCATGGTTAGTCATCCCCTATTGCTTGTGCCAAATCTAAACCAGATGCTCAGATGTGGATGAAACATGAAGGCCTACCAACCTGAGACTCCTTTCTTTCTTTTTTTTTACTTTAATTTTTTTAAAAATTAATTTTATTGAATCACCGTGAGATAGTTATAAGCTTTCGTGTTTGGGTTACAATCACACAATGATCAAACACCCATCCCTCCACCAGTGCACATTCCCCACCACAAATATCCCAGGTATAACCCCCCTTTCCCACCCTCCCTCTGCCTCCATGGCAGATATGATTCCCCATAATCTCTCTTTACCTTTGGACATTATGGTTTGCAATACAGACCCTGAGAGGTTATCATGTTTGGTCCTCTATCTACTTTCTGCACACAGTGAAACTCCTTTCACCTTGCAGAATGTCATTCATCCCACCCAAACTGACTCAGCAACAACCCAGAAACCAAAAGAGTGGAGACACTACTTTGTCTTCCTAATCTCCATTTTCAAAACTGTGGCCAAGGCAAAAAAGGATCTGGACTTCTCAGGCCCCTAGACTCTGTTCTGACGAGGCTCCGTGCAAGCCCTGAATCCTAACCCCAAGCTTTGGCTTCTTCTTGCCAATGCAAATCGCTGCCTTCCTTTCCGCATTGCTCTCTCCCTGGTTCGTAAACCCTGACGCCACATCCCGAGATTTGTAGGCGCTTCTTGACTTCTTCCCCCTGTTTCCTGTCTCGCAGTCGTGCCCGGCGCCACATTTCTAAGCCTACAAGTGGGGGAAGGGGCAGAGGCCTGAGCTCCCGCGGCGTACCAGGTATTGGGCAGCGAACTGGGAGGTTCCGCCGGGCTCTTGGGCCTCCTGGGCGCCTCACCCCGGGCTTGCTCGGTTTTCCCTGGTGGAGGCGTCGTGCTGGCCTCGCGGACCTTGCTTGGGGATCCGCAAAAGCTGTTTCGCATTAGCAAGCAGCTGCCCCAAGTCCGGCGTTAGCATCCACATCCGAGCTTCTGGCTCACCAGGCAAAGAAGTTGCTATGGAAACGGAAAGCGTCGGCGCCTGCAGCCTTGGCAACGGGGGCACTGCCACCCCCCCCCCTTCCCCCGGGACACCCGCCCAATTGCAGCCTCCGCTGCATCCTCTTTCCGGTCTCCGACGGCGTGACGCAAGCGACTTCAGGTTCCAAACTTCTCTCTCCTGTTGTTGGAATGTTCTGGATGGTCCCTTTTGGAGTTGGATTAAGTCCCATCCGAGCATGCTCGGCAGCTCTGGGGTCCATGACCCTACCCCTGTAAAGGCTGTACTCAGCTTTATTCAACCTGCAGACCGCTGTGGACCCCTGGAACATCCCCTTGCACACCCCCCCGCCCTGCCCCCCCCCCCCCTCAGCTATCAGTCTGGACATGGGAGGGAAAGGTTCAGCTATTAAGTGTTGATGGTGATGCCTCCTGAAGCAGATTTGAGACAAAGTTAATTGGGAAAGGGAAGCACAGGAAATGAGTAGCATAAAAACTGGACCACAAGTTCTGCTAATGATGAGGGCTTAAGAGAATATTTTCTAGAGGGAAAGGTGTGTTAGGCAAACATCAGGCTTGGAGTCACAGGTTATGCAGCTACATATTCTTCCACTGTTGCTCCTCAGCGGCCAGAAAGGCACACTCTGCTAAGACACCTAGTAGGACCTGGCCGGGGCAGCGGTGGCCAGAGCTGCCCTGTGTCTGGCAGTTTTTGCTGTCGTAAAAGAGTTTTCATAAAGCTTCTGTGGGACTAGGGGCCTATGAGAAGCCAAACTGAAGGTTATCGATCCCCCTTGTTTTCAGAAACGAGTAGGCTTGGTAAAGAAGGAAAATATTTACCAAACTTGAAAGGTTAGAGTTTACTTTGGGTGTTCATTTTTTGCAGTTCTAAGGTTGAAGTTTAATTGCTATTGATTCAAGACTACCAAGCTAGCCTTTCTGTAATGAGGGTGTAGGCGCTCTAGGTCACTCAATGTCCTCTCATTGTTCATCGATTTGCTCAGCGGGCCCAGTAACGTTTCCATTGTGAGACTTGTTACTGTGCTTGGCATATCGAATACATCACGGGTAGCTTGCCAGGCTTTGCCATGCGGGCAAGATATGCTTGGTAGCTTGCTGGCCTCTTGGAGAGGGGCGGAGGAATCGAGCCAGGTCAGTCAGGCCGACCCAAGGCAAACGTCCTACTGCTTTGCTATTGCTCCAGCTGTTAGTACAACGTTTAAATAAGTATTCTTAAGTTACAAAGCCAAAGTTTTAGGACAATTTCATCCTCTTTGTTTTCTAAGAAAGCCTTTGGCATGGAATAAATGAGAGCAATAAACTTGTCTTCAAGTATCAAAATTTTGGTTTTGACTTTGTGGCCAAAAGCAAGTCATATCCCATGGAGTCCTCAATTTTTGTTCTTGTTTCTTTGGGGCCACATTTAAGGGTATTCAGAAGTCACTCCTGGCGTGGGTATTAGTGGTGGTGGTAGTGAGAGAGTGTGGTCCTGGGGATTGAACTTGGGCCTCCTTTGTGCAAAACATACATACTATTGCCCTTTTTCCTTTTTGCCCTTGAGAGTATTTTTATCACTTGCTTTTAAAAATCCTTTCCAGTCTCATGATTCTGTGATGGCAATTTGCAAAGATTCATGGACTAGGAACAATATTTAACATGTCTGGGGATAAAAAGGAAGAACTATTTCCCTGTTCTCTAACAATTATTACCTTACTCTTTGTTAAGATGGTCTGCATCACATTGAAATGCCATTCTGTCATTCCAGGAAATGGCTATGAAGTGGCTTGGATGTTAAAGATAACTTCTATTTCCTGAACAGTTGCTTTTCTGGGTAATTGTGAAGAGAAATAAGATTTGGGAAAAGACAGTGAATTCCCATTCCTACAACTGACCCTACTTCTGTAAAAGCTGAAATCAAGTTAAAAGGACTTTAAGGAATCTTAGGGTTTCAAAATTTATTGTTGTTGTTATTATTTTGGACAACTAACCCTGTTTTCACATAAGAACCTTTTGATAGTTGAGGTGTGAGGTAGGATCTAGAACTCTGGGATGGAATGTGCACATACTCTGGAACCCGTGCACTCAGAATGGGTTCCCTCACATTCCCTCTTGTGGTCCTGAGCTAGAAGTGTGAGTGCATGTTGCAGAAACCATAGAGGAAACCTGTAGAGAGGACACTTCTTGACTTGCAACTCCAAATCGTTTGCTTATCTCCAAATTAATTATTCAAGCCCAGGAACTATGAAGTATTAAGAACAAGGACATCGAAACAAATCTTCTCTTGAATTGTTTAATTTTGTAAAAACACATTTTTCTGACCTCTCAAGGGAGGGTTAGATGTCTGGTGTGAGTCTGAGTCTCCTGTCCACAGTCTCATTGTGGTGCCCCCGGTCATGACATTTCTCCATTTATTTGTGAGTCTCTCACATTTCCCATGCATCTGTGGATCCACCCCAACAAAACACCTGTGGAAAACTGACCTCATGCTTGACATTGTTTTGTTCACTAGAGAAGCAATAATGAACACCAATAGACCAAGATTCTGCTCTCCTGTATCTTCTATTCTATTGAAAAATCCCTAACAAGGCTGCTAATAAAACTATGGGATTTCTGAAAGCTAGAAAGAGGCATATAACTTAGGAAATAAATTAGGTCCAAAAGGCCCTTTTTTTTAGGTACCTGCGAAGGGGGATAGAATGAGCCAAACTTCAGGACTCCCATCCCTCCTTCAGTCAGGTGAATCACCTTAGGGGAAAGAAAAGGAAAACCAGGCAGAGATTTAGAAAGTCAGGTGGGCATGCAAAAGGCTGTGCTAGCTGATACAATGTAACTCTAGGAGGCTTGTATGACAAGATGACATTGAGCAGAGACCTCAAGAAAATGAGATGCCAGCCAATGTATAAAATAGCATTCTAAGATGATAGTAGCAGAGGGCAAAGTCCCTGAGCTAGGAGCAAGATCAAGGAACAGCAAAAGGGTGATTAAGAGGCAAGGAGAAATGAGGCAGGGTCAGCTGAAGGACAGACATTAGATCCTGCTGAGGCCTTATATGTAAACTATCCATCTAAGTATCTGTCCCCTGAGACCTGCTGGCTGCAGGCTCTTTTAGCTCCCTGTTTGTGACTAGGAACTGTGTGTCTGGTTTGTTAGTGTTCAATCATGTCCAATGAGCCAAGTTGAGCTCCAAGAGCCCAGCCAGCAGTGGGACTCTGGCCTCTCAGTGTGTATCTGTTTCCTGCTGCTACTGTAGCAAATGCCACAAATTTAGTGGCTTCAAATAATAGAATTTTATTATCCCAGAGCTCTTGAGAAGAGAAACCTCTAACAGCTGCCACTGGAGACAAGGTGTGGGCAAGATGAGTCCTTTCTCAGGGCTTTTGAGAATTTGGTCTTCTCTCATTTCTAAAAGCTGCCTGTATACCTTGGTTTGTGGTCTCTTCACCTTTATCACCACCAGGGTAGCATATTTAAGTCTTTTGGACTTATCACACATTGTTCTGATAGTGTTGCATCCATCTGTCCAGATTCCTCTATTTTCAGCTTAGCTGATTAGTAATTTTAATGCTTTCTGTTGCTGTTTTGTTTAGGCCACACCCAGTGGTGCTTAGGGCTTACTACCGGCTCTGAGTTCAGGGATCACTCCTGGCAGTACTTCGGGATCTTATGGGGTACCGAGCTTCTACCCTGGGTCAGCAACATGCAAGCCAAGTACCCTACCTGCTGTATTTTTGCTACGGCACTCAGCAACCCTAATTCTATCTGCAAACATTTTTTTTTCTTTTTTGAGGTCACACTTGGTGATGCACAGGGGTTACTCCTGCACTCAGGAATTACTCCTGGCAGTGCTCGGGGGACCTTATGGGATGCTGGGAATAGAATCTGGGTCAGCAACGTGCAAGGCAAACATCCTATCCGCTGTGCTATTGCTCCAGCCCCTCTATCTGCAAACTTAATTTCCCTTTGCCATGCAAAATAAATTACAGAATCTGGGGATTAGGATGTGAAGGGGCATCCTGAGAAGAGACAACTGTTATTCTACTGTAGCACTGTCCTCCGATTATTCATCGATTCGCTTGAGTGGGCACCAGTAATGTCTCCATTGTGAGACTTCTTGTTACTGTTTTTGGCATATCGAATATGTCACGGGTAGCTTGCCAGGGCGAGATACTCTTGATAGCTTGCCAAGCTTTCCAAGGGGGCAGAGGAATCGAACCCGGGGAGGAGAAATCGAGTCCGGGTCGGCCATGCGCAAGGCAAACACCCTACCCGCTGTGCTATTGCTCTGGCCCATTATTCTACTAGGTAGAATAATTTTAACGTCTGGAGATGGCCCATAGGGCATCCTTGCTATCTAACTTTCCCATCAAAAACTATTTGGTAGTGTCTTATCTTTCTCCCCTTCCTTTCTACTCACCTGCTAGTCATGATCTGGTCAATCCAGTCACTAGTCTTAGATGATTTCCTTCCATTACACCTGGCTTACAACACCTCTTTTCTTCCCTTCCACTCACTTTTTGTGTACTCTGGATTTTCTCCTTCAAGGACCCATTCTATTTGCTGGAAGCATTAGCAGAGGTTGACTGATCTCTCACTCAGCCTTCCTAACCCCTTTATGGTGACTGTCATGGTTCAATGATTGTCCTTTGCTTCACAAACCCACCACACTCTCCCATAATGCTTGATGATTCTCTGTCCTCAGTTGCAAACAGAAATTGCTCCTCTGGGAATGTCTTGTCTGTTGTTTTTCCCAACATACTCTTCGTGTTGAATCCTGCCTCTTCTTGGTTGAACAACATCACAACCACCTTAGTAGGGAAAGTGGTTCTCGGCACTCAATATTCCACAGTCGTGCCACATTGCAACAGACTGGCTTCAGTACATCTTGGGGGTGGGAGCAAGAGCAGGTGGAAGGAGATAGCTCAGCAGATGGGGGAATGTGGCCTGGTAACCCTAATTTCAGCCCCAGTATCACATGACCATCCCCTATGTGTACCAGGGCTTGGCTCTGGAGGGCCCCAGTGCTATAGAAGCCCCGTACCTCTGCATCTGGGGGCTGTAGCACTCAACCACCTGGCACAGTTGGCTAAATATCACTGGGAGTTACACTTGGGTGCCCAGTCCAGAGCTTGGGCACTCCCCCACTCCCAAAATTCTGGGAACATTTTGCCTATGCCATACCACAAGGTTTGTTTACTTTAAAAAGAGTGGCTTTAACAATCAAAAGCTTTGGAGTCTGGTCACAATGGAGATGTTACTGGTGCCTGCTCGAGCAAATTGATGAACAATGGAGTACAGTGCTACAACGCAGTGCTATTTTTCTTCTTTTTTTTTTCTTTTTGGGTCACACCCAGCGATGCTCAGGGGTTACTCCTGGCTCTGCACTCAGGAATCACTCCTGGCAGTGCTGGGGAACCATATGGAATGCTGGGGATCGAACCCCGGGTCAGCGCGTGCAAGGCAAACACCCACCTACTGTACTATTGCCCCAGCCCCCTGGATTCTGATTTTAATCTAAGAAAAACATATGGATCACTCAACCAATGTGAAGAAAAGGTCAGTTTCTCATTCAATGTGATGATGCAAAGACTAATCCACTGCCCTCCACCAGCCCCCACCTATACTGCCCAATGAAAGCTAATTGTCTATGAAAATAGGAATTTGAAAATTATCTCCCCCAATCCTCATACACATGCAGAAATATATTTACATACAAGATAGTCTCATATCATTTTTATGGACAGAATAATACTGGAAGCAGATAAATGCAGATGAGAAGTGGGAGAGATAGTATAAGTTTAACATGTGATTGATCCTGGTTGAGTCTCCAGGAGATCCCCTGAGCACTACTGGAGTGGCCTTGGCACTCCCTGACCCCACAGAATCTAAACAGCACTGTATCCTTAGTTCTTAGGAGTGAGCCATAGGGCCTGATTTGCCACAAACTGCCAGAAGTGACCCTTTAAGCCCCCGTGCACTGCTTGGGAGCCCCCCTCCAAATATACAGATAGCACAACCGTACTATGAAACATTCCACAACACTTTAAAAGGATGAGATGCGTGAGCCAACAGAGAACAATCTCCAAAAACCACCAACAGAGATGCAAAAAGAAATGAGTTTATTTTCTGCGACGCCCTGTGTAAATTACAAAGGAAAACCACTAACTAATATATAACTTTTTAATATTTAATCAGGGTACTCGTAATAAATATGCATCCTGAAAACAAGATAAAAGGCTACACTTTGTCAGGCATCCTAGAAAATGTCTCAAGTTTTATACTCTGCAGCATTTCTCTGCCGGATAGGGCCAGAAGGAAGGGGGTGGTGTTTTGTGTTTTAAATGCGGTGACAAAAAAGTCTTTTCACATTTCTTTGGAGCATTTGTGAACTTGGTTAACTTATAAACGACTTAAAAAAAACAGTCACACTGAGCTTGAAAGCCACTTTTTGCCTGGCTGGCTGTCTATTGGTGGTCATCTAATAAGAGATTAACACACTCTCAAGTACAGCTGAGTGTCGTCGGCACCAGGCAATCCTGCAGCACCTGGCTTCTAAGAGCACGACCCCACTTCTAGTTAGCAACCTGCCAGCAATTTGTGTACTCGGTTTACATCTGTTAATAGGATCAACGCCATCAGGGAAGCTGCAAGCATGTTTGAAACATTTTTAACCTGAAAGTAAAGCAAACAGAATAGTTTCTGCCAAGATCGTTGCCTGGCGCCATCCGGGTTGTCTCTACCAGGATCGGAAGTTTCAAAGGTGAAAAACTTGTTTGGTCCTCTAGTCCTTCCGGAAATCACGTATGGGCACCCTAGAGCTAGGGCATTCAGAAATATCCAAAGGGTAAAAAGCCATTGGCGATATTAATACACAGACGACATTCTTAGGACAGACAAAGCCAACTGCAGGAAGTTGGGGGCTATTGGCAGCAACTGGCGTAGAATCTGGGATACTTAACTACCTTTCGCTATAGCCAAAAACTTGGGAGGAAAAACTTATATTCTGAGAAAATCTTAAGCATGGTTACCTAAAAAATATCTTGTTAATATAGTCTACAGTAAATTTCACTTACTTAGGGATATAGATAGGAAAACATCTTTAAGAGCCAATAAAAACATTGTAGAGGGGAAAAATAAAAACACTTAAAAAACTGAGGTTAAGAATGCTGAGGCATTTCTTTTGGCTGTAAACACGCAGTTTACTGTCCCTTGTTGAAACAAAAACGTTCAGATTTCCTGAGTTTTACAGAGAACAGCAGGAGGCAATTGTGCATAGATGCTCTGCAATATGTCAACAATTTACTTCAAAAAGAATTTTAAAAAGAAAACTGGCTTTTGTTTGGAAGGTTCGTAGCTTAGTGGACTGGTGCTCATCCAACTGTGCGGTTGACAAGCGGGTAGCTGAGAGAGATAAGGCAGATGGGGACAGAAGACGGAATCTGAGTTTCAAATCCACAGGCTCGCATCAGGTCTTAAGCATGCACTGTAGAAACTAGTGCCACCTTAATCTGGGGAGACAAGAAACCAGGGTGTGGGACTGGAAATCATGGGGCAAAACAAGTGCGCCACTCTGAGCAGCACAGACCAGGGAGAGGAACTGAGGCAGCCCTCAACCTTGTGAAGGTCCCCACACCCACACATAGCTCGGCAACTGCCGGGGTACTAAAGAGGAAGTCCACCAGCTAGTGTCAGTGGCCTGGGAATTTCAAAAACCAGATGGGCTGAGGGCCCCTCACCTCAGCCGCTTGGCAATTCCTCTGCAGTTCCCAGGTCAGTCTTTTCCTGGGACCGAGAAGGAAGCTTTTGGAAAAGGAAGAAGCTAGGCTAGGTCACTGAGAACGTGAGAACAGGGGCCAGTGCTGGCCAGTGGGTTCGGATCGAACACAGAGATGGACAACAAGGGGGCAGTGTCCTGCTAGGACATACATTTTACTTCTTCTGAGATTGATGTTTACACATGGTGAGGATCTGCTTCAGGACTTTCTGGACGTCTTCATCCATCTGGCCCTAAAGGAAATATAAACAAAAACCCACTCATTAAGCACTAAATAAAATCCTAGCGGTCTCTCCTCTGAGGAGAAGGCAAAGCAGCCCTGGGCTTGTCTCGAGACTTTTCAAATGACTGTGAGTTCTGCTCATTCCCACATCTCAGGAGGAGCTGAGCCCAGAAAGGCCCTGTGAGGAGTCTTCCAGCTCTGTCCCCATCTGGCCCCAAAGATACAACCCCGCCCAGGTAGTTAGAACAGCAGCAGGCAGAGACAGAAAGAGACACTGGCATGCTTGGAAAAGAAAAGTGTGGGCTCCTCCTTAAAGGTGGGACACAGCAGCCTCATCCACTTCCATTTCTCGACAAATGAGGACCCTGTGCCCCAGTAAATATGGCTCCTGCCACAAAATCCAGAGTCAAGCAAGAGATATTTTACAGCTCCCCATTCACAAAGAACTTCCCCGAATTCTCATTTGTTCAAATCATTCCATGCAAGCTGGGGTAACTTGCTGCAGCATTTCGCTGGGATGCTCAGACACTTGGTGGGGTGTGACCATACCTGCACAGCATACAGAAGATGCATTCTGTAAACGGATATGACCTCTTGGTGCTGTTTCTTGCATTCCTAGAAAAGGGAAATTGGACACTGTGAAACAGGTGAGGAGCCCTAGGGAAAGGCAGGGGGAGCTGGGCCACTCCCAGTGATGTTGAGCTAGACTGTATGGACACAAGTCTGTTGTTGCCTGGGCATCCAACCAGGGTCTGGGGGGCAGGAAGTGCCAGACTGAACTCCAGGCCTTACAGGTGCTTCTTCCTCCCCTCCCTACTCAACCTGCCACCGTGCCTTATCTTTGCAACACACCCACACAGGCTTCCCCTAATTCCTATGAAGAATCAGCCCACTGATAGCGCTCCTTTATTCACCATGCCATCCAGATTCTTCCATGCTACTCCTTTGTATCTGTTTTCCCCGACACTCCAGGGGCCCTCTGAATGCCACATCCCTGGTCCTGCTGCCTTCTGTGCATTTCTGAGACAGAGCACAAGCTTGAACCTCCCAGTCTTAGGAGATGACCCACTTCCCCCCTGAGGAAGCGTGTTTCCTCTGTAGATTCACAACCATAGTGGGCATATCTTTAAAATTACGGAAGGGCAGAGGTAGTTTTCATTCATTTTTATATGACCACACAATACTGATAGACTATAGCTCATTAAAGACATGCTATACTTTATAAGCATGACTACATAAATCATTATCACTAAGTCTGTAATAATTATTTTATCAGAAAAATTAACTGTAGAGTTCATAATAAGCACCGTCTCCTCTGTCCTAAGTATTTTACCTCACCTAAAGTGTATTCGGGTTGGAGTGATAGCACAGTGAGTAGAGCATTTGCCTTGCATGCAGCCGACCCGGGTTCGATTCCTCTGCCCCCCTTGGTAGCCCAGCAAGCTATACCGAGAGTATCTCACCGGCAAGGCAAAGCCTGGCAAGCTACCCATGACGTATCTGATATGCCAAAAACAGTAACAACAAGTCTCATAATTTGTTGTGGGATGTTACTGGTGCCCGCTCAGCAAATCAATGAACAACGGGAGGACAGTGCTATGGTGCTACAATGCTACAGAGTGTATTGAAGCATCCTAAGATCTGAGCTGTGTATGTAAGTGGAAACTAGAGGAAATCCAGAACAGACTCCTCTTTGAATTCATGTGGAAAATGTTACCTACTCTTGTCACCTAAAATCTTAAGGTCTCAGGGAGACTAAACAAAGGCCTCCAAAGATAGATTTTTCAACCCCTGAAGCTATGAATGTTAACTAGAGGGCAGAAGGATGATGTGGGATCTTTTTTGAGCACATATATTTTTTATTTTTTAATTAAAAAAATTTTTTGCTTTTTTTGGGGGGGGATCACACCCATTGATGCACAAGGGGTGACTCCTGGCTCATGCACTCAGGAATTACTCCTGGCAGACCTCGGGAGATTATATGGGATGCTGGGAATTGAACCCAGTCGGCCACGTGCAAGGTGAATGCCCTACCCGCTGTGCTATTGCTCCAGCTGCAGTGACGGGATCTTGAGAGAACAGTGATTCTGGTGAGCTCGGAGGGCCTTACATGTATGCATGTTCCTTTGAGGGAAAGAGGGTGAGTGGAGGAAGGAGGAGCCAGAGGCCAGCAGCATAGGCAGAAGTGAGTCAGCCTGAGGAGAAAGGAAGGGCCGGGAGCCAAGGAGATCAGGTGCCCAAGGAAATGGATTCTCCCCTGGAGCAGGAACCTTCCCAACTGACCCCATGATTTTACTTGTGTGAAACTGACTCGCTCAAGAAAGACATGGGTCACTGCCAGAGAGGGTAGGAGTGCTGTGGAGAGATGGGGAAGGGCTGAAACCCGAGAGGACGCACGAGGAGAACCATAGCGCTCTCCTGCCATCCTGTCGCAGACACATCTCCTTTCTGAGGACACAGTCCAGCTGAGTCCGCAGATGTTGGGGATCTGAGCTCAGGACGCTGGCTGGGGATCCTGGCGCCTTCACCTCGCCCTGCCCATCCAGCTGGGTTGGTCTGGAGCCGCCTCCTCGCCTCGCCCCATCCCTGGGAGTGATGAGGATGAGCCCGCTCACCGCCAGCTGGTTCTGGAGCTGCTTGACCTGCTGCTGCAGTGCATCCAGCTGCTGGCTCTGCCTCTTGGATGAGCTGGCTGAGTAGGACAGCTGTGATAGGCTGTTCAGGGCCTCCTTCAATTTGGTGACTTCCTTCGACATCTCGTTGATCTAGGAGAAAGGAAGAAATGCCACTACTGGACTCACGTCTATCTGGAGAAGGCAAATGTCCTGCTATTTCAAGGCCTCGGTCTCTGGTGGCTTCTAAAACTGGGACAGAAGAATGAGTCAGAGTTTTGGGTTTTCTATTTTTCAGTTTGGGGGCCACACCCAATTATGCTCAGGGGACTTGCATGGGGTGCCAAGAACTGAACCCCATTGTCTGTATGCAAGACAAACACCCTACCCACTGTACTGTCTCTCCAACCCCAAGTCAAATCTCTTGGATCCTGTTGTGTTGTTAAGGTTTTTGGTGCTAGGGATCCAACATAGAACTCCATACATGCCATCTCAGTGCTCTAACCCTGAGCTACAATCCTGGCCAACAATTCTGTTTCTTAAAAAGAAATCCCATAAAGGGAACCCTACAACTGGGCAAGCCAACATATGCCTCTAAGATCGTCCCATTCAAGTATGAGCCCCAGGATTAAATGTTGTGTGGAGGTAAAATGAAGCTAACATGTTAAATAAAGGCAACAACTACAATGTAGGGTTTATGTCTTTTAGGACCACACCTGGAAGTGCTCAGGGATTACTTTTGGCTCTGTGTTTAGGGATCACTCTCTTGGTGGTACCCTGGGGACCAGATGCGGTGCTGGGCATCAAACCTGGGTTGGGTGCAAGCAAATAAAGAACCTTGAGCTCCCATTTGATCCAGCAATACCACTCCTGGGAATATATCCCAGAGAGGCAAGAAAGTATAGTCGAAGTGACATCTGCAATTTGTTCATTGCAGCACTCTTACAATAGCCAGAATCTGGAAAAAACCTGAGTGTCTGAGAACAGATGACTGGTTAAAGAAACTTTGGTACATTTACACGATGGAATACTATGTAGCTGTTAGAAAAGATGAAGTCACAAAATTTACATACAAGTGGTGCTACATGGAAAGTATCATGTTAAGCAAAATGACTCGGAAAGAAAGGGATAAACATAGAAAGATTGCATTCATCTGGGGAACATAAAGTAACAAAATAGGAGACTAATACCCAAGAATGGCCGAGATTAGTACCAGGAACTTGACTCCATGGCTTAGAGGCCAACCACACATACTAGGGGAAAAGGGAGCTCAGAAAGAGAAGGGAACACCAAATAAAGGTGTTGGGAGGATCCTCCCTGGATGGGAGAAGCATGCGGAAAGTAGACTATAGACTAAACATGACTGTCACCCATTGCCTCTTTTGCAAAACACAACACCCAATATGAGAGAGAGAACAAAAGGAAATGCCCTGCCTCAGAGGCAGGGTGGGATGGGGGGGATGGGGGGTGGGAGGGATACTGGGATCCGTGGTGGTGGGAAATGGGCACTGGTGGAGGGATGGGTATTTGATCGTTGTATGACTGAAACCCAAGCACAAAAATGTGTAAGCCTGCAACTGTACCTCATGATGTCTCACTATTAAAAAAAAATTAGAAAAAAAATCAAGAACTGCTGTACTGTCTTTTCAGCCTGACAACTATGATTTTTTTTTTCTTTTTGAATTTTCAAAAGAGCTGGAAAGAGCTCATGAGAACAGGTGACTTTCTTCGACATCTCGTTGATCTAGGAGAAAGGAAGAAATGCCACTGCTGGACTCGCATCTGTCTGCAGAAGGCAAACATCCTGCTATTTTGAGGCCCCAGTCTCTGGTGGCCTCTAAAACTGGGACAGAAGAATGAATCAGATCTTGAGACTATTAGACCTTGTTTATCATGCTGACATGGACAATTGGGAATAAATTCTTAGAGCCCTGATTTCTCTGAAATTTTACTTTATATTCATTTTCTTTGGGGGAGTAAACTGATGGTCACACACATGGTGGTACTTGGGGATCACTCCTGGCTCTATGCATGGCAGTTGTTCCTGTCAGTGCGTAAGGGACCATAAGGTGCCAGGGATCAAACCTTGACCTCCTGCATGCAAAGCATGCACTCAGCCCTTTGAGTTCTCATTCTGACTCTCTGTCATCTTAGTTTAAAGTGAATATAGTGGTGCAGCTGTAACTCAGTGGTAGAGCACATGCCTTGTATATCTGGGGCCTAGGTTCAATCCCAGCACTGCCAAAATCAGTAAGTAAATAAAGCCATGGAGTAATCTTTGAGCCAGAGATGCGGCTCAATGCTAAGGGTCATGCCTTGCCTACGTTCAGTTCCCCACACTGCAATAAATAAGCAGAGTAGGGAGCCATAATCACTGTCTTTTTTGCAGGTTTGTTGTTGCTTTTTGGGTTTATACCTATGGGTGCTCAGGGCTTACTTCTGGCTCTCTGCTCAGGGACTGGTTCTGGCAGGACTCAGGTGGACCCAGATTCAGGTAGAGAAAAACCAGTACCTCTTTCTCCTCTTGCAGCCAATCTACCCTCTCCTGCCTGCTCCTCATGGTCCTCCCTAGTGCTCCCTTCCTCTCCTAAACACCTTAGAAATGCACCCACAGGAAAAGTCCTGGAGCTTCTTTGAGCAGGACTAAGTCTCAGAGTACTTAGGTTATCATATGATGCAGGAATCTGTCTGGATTCCTGAAGACTTGAAATTCAAGTTGGGTCGCAAATACTTTCCAGTCTGTGCATTCACTTTTGGCCCTGACACTTGGCAGAGTTTCACTGAAATAATTTTGAAAGGCAAAATCTGTACTATATACGTGAAAGTGCTTTAGTGCAAAGAGTGTAGAAGATCTGGGTTTTTAAAAATAGATGTTCAACCTTCTGTTCCCTTTACAAATTGGGACCATATCCATCAACGTTCAGGGGCCGCCTGGCCACACTCCGGGGTATGGGGTGCGGGGCGGAGGGAAGTGGCACAGGGGTCAGAACCAGGAATGTGCTCCCGGACTTGTGCCGTATCCCTGGCCCAACCTACTCTTCTTTGTTTTCTCTCCAATTTTGGGGTCACATCTGGTAGTGCTCAGGGAACCACAGAGTGCTAGGAATCAAACCCAGGCTGACACCGGGCCCCAGAAACCTACTCTTCTGACTACGGCTTGGGAGACAGTCAGGTGTCACAATAGGCCAATATGACCAAGTGACACACCTGCCCACAAACAAATAAAGGCTGATCCAGAGCTGAGGAGCTTGAAACCCAACAGCCACAGAAATGTCACAGACCTTCTTGTCTTTATCCTCCTCCAGCTTGGAAGAGCTCTCTGAATGCCTCTTCAGCTCCGCAAGTTCTTCCTGAGTGTGCTGGAATTTTTGCAGAAGTTCCTGTGCCTCCTGCTCTTTGGACTTCAAGAGGGTCTGGACACTGTCCTTTTCCCTTTTCAGCTGGGAGACCTCGCTTCTAGCCTGGGACACCTCTGACTGGGTCTTTTCCTTCTCTTTCACTGAATCCTTCAGTTTCGAGGCTAAGACCCTCACTTCACTTTCCAGAGATGCCTGGAGCTTCTCGTAGGTAGCCCGCGGCACCATTGCCTCGGTCATGGCCGCCTTCTCCTCCAGGAGCTGCTTCTCCAGCTTGGCCACTTCCGCCTCCTTGCTGGCAAGGTGCTCCTTGAGACCACTCATTTTTCCTTCCATCTCCTTGGCTGTCGTCCGCAGCGAGGTGATCACTTGTAAGTGCTCTGTGATGGAGACTGAGTTCTCTTTCTGGGCATCCACCAGCTGTTTGAGCTGGGTGAGCTCGTTTAACACTTTGGAATACTGGGACTTCATTTCATCCAGGGCCTCCTCGGCCTGTGCCCGGGAGATGTTCGTCATCTGCATCAGGTTCTCATGCTCGGCTTTGTGGATGTACTCTGCAGTCACATCCTCTAAGGATTTCCTCTTCCGGTAATCCTCCAGCTCAGCTTGGGCCTCCTTGTACAGTTGCGACAGCTCGCTCACCTGCTTGTTGAGTTCATCAATCATTCTGTTCATGGCCTCCTTCATGTCCCCAGTCTCATCCCCGGCCTCCTGCGACCCCTGACTTTTGAGCGTCTCTTTCAACTTCGTAATTTCTTCTTGGGCCTCTTGGTATTTCTCGAACAGATATGCTTTCTCCTTATTCATATTTTCAATCACAGAGCAGTAGGAACTTTTCATTTCCTCGTAATCTTCCACCGGTGGCCTGGTGTCTACCCCCTGCTCCCGCTCTCCCAGCCTCTCCTCCAACTCTCTCACTTTCTCTTTATTTCTTTCACTTTCTTCTCGTGCGTTCTGGAGATCCTGCTTCAATCCATCTATTTCCTCCTCAGTGATCCTGAGATCACGGAGGTGGGAATAACTGTCCACACTCTCAGCTGAGATGAGGCCCAGCTTCATCTGCTTCTGCACGCTCAGGACTTCTTTCATGGCCTCCTCGTACTTGTTCTGATTTTCTTGGAGTTTCTGGTTGAGGTCGGAACCGTTTTCTGAAATCTGCGCATTGGGTAAGCCACTGGGCTCTGTCCTTTGGGACTGGAGCTCAGCCTGGAGCTGTTTTCTCTCTGTTTCGGAGCACTCCAGTCTCTTCTGCAAGTCTTGCAGAGTCTCTTGGAGCTGCTGAATTCTGACATCACCATCAATGGAGGATTTACTCGAGGAAGGTGCTAAGACAGACTGAGATGATTTGGAGTCAGGGGGAGATGTTTCCTGAGCTTTGCCCAGGGATGGGGCCAACTCAGTTTGAGTGGAATGGAAGGAGTCGAAGCTCTGATCTGTTTCTGACTCCTTGGGTGCTTTGGCCTGTGGAAAAAGGGAGGAGGAAAAAGGCACCAAAGCTCAGTTAGGAGACAAAAAAAACTGAAAGGAAAAAACAAACCTAGAACTTAGGTCTGGGGTGTTGGGGAGACAGCTCGGAGGGCTGGAGCAAGACTGGCAAGCACAGGTGACACCCAGCATCACCCAGCACTGCTCGATGTAGCCCTAGTGGCCCTCAGTACTGGTAAAATCCTTCTCCCAAATAACCGCTTCTACCCACCCACCCTCCAAAAAAATCTCCTCCAAAAGAACAAAAATAAATCAGCAAATTCAGGCTGGGAGCGTGGCTTGAGTGTGTATATTCTTGCACCTATGAAAAATTCCTATGTCCCATGTCCCAAGACATGAAAGGCTGATTGACGAGCTTATTTTGTGCTCTCTTAGAAAAATGTTTTAGGACACTTGAAAAACAACAGAATTACTTTGGTCATAAAGACCCTGACTTAGATTCTTCTTTTGTTTCTCATCTTGTTCTAGCAGTCAAGAGAAGCAATTGGCTTAGTGCAACTAGCTATAAAGTTTTAAATCTATTAAATCTGTTAGTTAAATAACTTTCTGAGGTAAATGACTAATCATATATATGTCACATAAATGTATACATGTATATATAATGTATATGTACAATTTACCAATTTTCAGAGTCAATGAATAACTCTCGAGAAACAAATAATCTGAAACAACACAATGCTAAGGTTGTATTTGGAAAGAACAAAACCAATGTAGGTGTTTGAAATAAATTATCATCTGAATGATGTTGAAAGCCTAATAAACTAACCATAAAGAACAGTCTGCAGTCACATGTCTACCTACTTGCAATTTATCTTGTAACTCTTTATTGTGTAAGGTCAGAGAAACAACTTTTGCTTGCAACCGGACAAGAAGATCTTGCTGGTCAGCTTCAGAACTTATATCCAATAAGCTATCAGCACCTTTAAAAAGAGAGAACATTTTACAAATTGAACTGTTACTTCTCTAACCTCTACCAAACTTTGTAGACCAACCCAGTTCTTCGCTTAGTACTATGAAACTCCCACCAGCTAGATACATGAACAGTGTTTCTCAGGCACTACAGAGTTCTTCCTAGGGCTTTATTCCTAGCACAATACTAGCTGCGTGGATGTGTGGAAGAGCATGTGAAAACTGATTGATTTGCTCTTACATTTTTCAATCACTTGACTGTTATACCTTGACCCCAATTTTTGTTCTTCCCATGTGAATGAAGTTGTATTTCTGTGAAATCTTTCCATAATCTAGTTCACGTCTTATCTGCACCATCATTACTCTGACTCCAAACTTTATCACCACAGTTTCTGCACTGTAGCACTGTCCTCCCGTTCATGGATTTGCTCGAGCAGCTGAGCCGGGTTCGATTCCTCCACCCCTCTCGGAGAGCCCGGCAAGCTACCGAGAGTATCTCGCTCATCTCACCCACAATTTCTGCAAATTCTGCAAATTGCAAGTTCTGCAAACATTCCCTAACCAATCTGCCTCTCTCCTCTTGCTAATACAAAAGCAAAACAAAGCAGCAGGCACATCACAGTCAGGCCAATCCTCCTGATAGCTATTTTAGGAAGTTCATGTTTTCAGAAGTTCAGTGCTTTAGTTCAAGTGTTTTCATTGGTCTTCTTCAAAACATAGTTCCTAAATTCCTCTATCTGATTAAGGTTTCTATGATTTGGTCCCTGAAATCTCCCGTTTCAGGCTTATGATTCATGACCTGTCTCTCTGGTTTTCAACTTTCCCTCAAGCCATGGTTTTCATCATAGTCTAAATTCTCTATATTCTCAAGCCAAGGCTGCTGCTTCAATTTCTCAACCATATGAGAGTCCTTTCATCATGTCACTGAAAAGTGACCTTTTAGGTGGCCTTCAACAATGCAGGCAGGGTTTGCCTCCTTCCTGAAGCATTCACTGCCCCCGACATCCACAGGAATCAGTCTTCTCTGAATACCACAGGAATTGCTGCTGGCAAGCAAGCTTTGATAGCCTACTGATATCATGCCGAAATAGCATCAAAAGCAGGCGCAAGTGCTCCCTGGGAGAAAGGCAGTTGCTCCAGAACAGAATTCAATGGACAGCTTCCTTTGTCCAGAAAAATCTTCCTATTGAAATAAATAGCAAGCAGACAAAGCAACGTACAGTGTGATATAACTGAATGACTTCCTGTGGCAAAACTCCTGATTTATTGCAGACTTTGAATAGTGCTGATCTACATTATTTTACCGTTATGTCTTTTTATTTTCTCATAGTCATTTAATGCAAAGATGAAAATGTTCAATTTGGAAAGATGAGAAATACTTATTTCTATTCTCTGGTGCCTATGACAAAATGAAACAACTTCCTTGACATGAAGTTTAGTGAGATTGGAATGAACATGGGGGACTAGAGTATAACTGTAATTCTTCTTCTTCTTTTGCTTTTTTGTTTTTGGGGCAAACCCAATGTTGCTTAGGGCTTACTGGGCCTGCACTCAGGAATACTCCTGGCAGGGTGCAGGGGACCCTTTGGAAAGATGAGAAATGCTTATTTCTATTAAGGGGACATGGGGTGCTGGGGACTGAACCAAGTCACCCACATGCAAGTCAAATGCCCTACCCATTGTACCATCATTCCAACTCCTAACTATAATTCTAAGCAAATAATGACTCCTAGGATGTAATGAGGAGCATATACAGTATGACAAATAATCAGTTACCTTAATGCTGAACTCTGCCAAGAATTACAGAAAATCTAATATTTCTAAATTCTGTATACTAAAGTCTTCACTCACATATGAAATACATGTCAGACCAAGAAACCAAAAGCTAAGGCCAAAAGGAGCATTTTAAACAATGTGTTTTAAATGTGATTCGGTAACATATTCTTCACAGGTCCAACTGCAGGACGAACTCTTAATCCTCTGAATTAAAGCTGTTTTTTAGGAATAGCTTGTGAGTGTATGATGCTTTGACACTGTCTTGCATGGGTTCATTTAAAATCCAAAGTAGATGGGCTATGGTGGGCAGTTATGGATGTGCTCAGTGGGTGCGGTTGGGCATAGTGGCTATAATAACTTAAGAACTAATTTCATAAGACACTGTAGAGTGAAGTCAGGCAATATGTCTAATAACTGCTGTAATTTTCCGTAGAGAGACTGTAAATGATATTTGAAGATACCCACAATCACAGTTCAGTGACAAGACACTCAAGTCAATTCTCTTGTCTAAGTCTAGCATGACCGCTGATTGCCCATACCCCTCACTGAAAGAGGAACTAACATTTAGTGAGAGACATGGAAAAAGAGATACATCTTCTCACATCCAAGCTCAGAGGTGCCTTAAAAGCCATATGAAAACACCTGGAGTATGACAGTCCATGTGATACTGGAAGCTCTGGGGTCCTCTAACTTCCCAATGTTGAGGGCTCTCTGACTTGGTCCCTGCTCTCTTGAAAGGACACAGAACACAGACTGACTGGTGATGCTGTTTCATCTTACCTGTGGTGCTGTCACTCAGTCTGTCTTTGTTCTCCCGTATCGAACTGATCTCAGCCTGGGGGAACATAAAAAGGACTTAGAAGAGCACTTTAGAAGATCACATTCCACTAAAAAGAACCAGACTTTCCTTTTCAAGTCTTACTAAAGACTAAAGTCTACTTTTGAAGTCATTAGAGGTTCTGAGGACTATTATCTGTAATGTATCTATCAGCAATGTCATTAAGTATAAGACAATTTTTAGGATTCCAATAATGTCAGAAAATAGCTAATTTAGTGGGCTAGAGCTGAATTCTGAAATAGAAAGCATCACTTTCACAAGGCTAGAAAACTAAGTTGTAAAGCACGTGTCTAACATGTGAGAAGTCTTCAGTTCGATCCCTGGCTCCAAATGGTCCCCCATTTTTCAAAGTACTTCTGAGTGTGTCCCATATGAAAAAAGTAAGATAAAAGTCTTTTATTTTAAACCAAGTACTATTTACACAAGGAAGTCAAATGGAAGTTCTGTCTGGGAAATGTACTAAAACATATTAAAAATAACTTAGCTGTACAATTTTATAAATTACCTGCCGTTAATAGGCATTAATACTTTTTAATTTTGGTTTTTGGGCTGCATCCAGAAGGCTTAGGGCTGACTCCTCCTGGCTCTGTGCTCAGGGATCACTTCATGCTTGTGGGACCATATGTGGTACTGGGGACTGAACTGGTGTTGGCCATGTGCAAGGCGAGTGCCTTAACTCCTGTACTGTCTCTTCAGCTCCTAGACATTACTAGTTCATATATATATATATGGGCTGGAGCGATAGCACAGCGGGTAGGGCGTTCGCCTTACACGCGGCCGACATGGCCGACCCGAGTTCGATTCTTCCGCCCCTCTCGGAGAGCCCGGCAAGCTACCGAGAGTATTCGATATGCCAGACACAGTAACAACAAAGTCTCCAATGGAGACGTTACTGGGCCCGCTCGAGCAAATCGATGATCAATGGGAGGGCCTTTACCTTTATATATATATATTTATCTATTTGGGAGGGTCACAGATGATGGAGCTCAGGGCTTACCCACGGCTTTGTGCCCAGGGATCACTCCTGCGGGTCAGGGGGACCATATGGAGTGCTGGGGATTGAACCCAGGTTGGCCATGTGCCAGTCAAGCTTTACTATCACTCTTCACATTAACTAATACTTTCAAGACAAAGGGTAGCAAATAAGACCTGTCAGTGACAACTGAGGTAATTTTATAAGAAAATAATTTTTTTTCTGGTCTTGGATTGATAACTGATCCTCTTAAAGATTTCCTATAAACTTTTTTCCCCAAAGGTCTATGAATATATTCCAAAAATTCTTATAACTTCAAAACCAGACTCTTGTTTCAAAACAAAATACAGTGACTTGCCAGCAATTACTATGTTTCATTTAGATGAGCCACAGACCATGATAAGAGATATAATTTTTCATCAAAGAAACTTCTGAAAAGGTTCAAAATGCTAAAAATAAAGTGACTTATTTTTGGCAAATGCTTATCTTTCCAAAAAGCTCTCTTTTCACTTTTGAAAATGCATACTATTACTTTCAACATGATTAAAATTTGATAAACTATCTAAATCTACAGTTTGGAGAGTTCTAAAAAGATCTGTTTTTAGGGAATCATCACTCTAGGAATGCTGTTAAATATTTCCATTACCTCTAAGTTTCCTGATGCTCATTATAGCCAATCTCTGCCCACCCCATTCCCAGACAACTACTACCCTCCTTTTTTGGCTTTTGTAGAGTTTCTAAAAATGGAATGTTTATGGCATTAATCTCATTGCATCTGGCTTCTTTCACTCAGTACAGCGATTTTCAGGTTCATTGATGAGGCTATTTGCCAGTACTACATTTTAATAGCTAAGTAATATTTCACACACCGCCCCATATATTCTATGAACAGAACTTATTTTATTTTATTGTTTCATTTATTGGTTTTTAGGCCACACCTGGTGATGGTCAGGGTTATTTCTGGCTCTGTACCCAGTGTGTGACCATATGGGATGCTGGGGATTGAACCTGGGTCAGCCATGTGCAAGGTACGTGCCCTATCTGCTGTACTAGCTCTCCGGTCCCTGAACAGACCACTATTACTGTCTTTATCCAATCACTTGTAGAAGGACAACTGGATTATTTTCAGTTTGGGGATACATCTCTATATATCTATATATCTATATATATCTGCAAAAAAGTAGAAATATTTTTACATGTGATTTCTGAGACATTTTTACTCCTCTTGGACAAATATCTGAGAAAATAGATCACTTGATAAGTACATGTTTAATATTTAAATAAACTGTTAAATACTTTTCCAGCATAGTCCTAACATTTTATATTATTACCAACAGGATAAGAGTTTTAGTTTTCCCTTGTGCTTACCAAAAACTTTCAACTCTTTTAAATTTTAGTTATTCATTTTGATACAGTCCTTGACAATGCGCTGCCTGTCTTCTTTCAGTAGTAACTGTATTAGAAGACATTAGACAGCAAATAAAAGCAGAATTTCCCTGTAGAGTTATTCATCTTACTGAAACATGTCTTTAATAATTCTTAGATGAGGAAATACAACAATAGCACTGAAATTTAATTGGAACAAATTAAATAATTTGAATAAATTATTTGAACAAATACATCAATAATTTGAATAAATTAAATATATACCTCTTACTCTGCAAGTACATTTTTCTAATGATCATAGGTAAATAAATATGGAACTGAAATGTTCTTTTATTCTTTAAAGTAATTTTAACAATACATCTTTAGAACCAGGTAGAATAAGACCTAATAGATTTTTAATTCCTGAAAGAAATAGTTATATAATATTGCTATAATCAGGAATGAGGTTTCATTAAAAGTAGTTTAAAACTGAGCTGCTATATGACTCAGCAATTACACTTTTGGATATCTACCCCCAGGACAGAAAAACATTCATCCACAATGATGTATGCGCACCATCATTCACTGAGAACTCAGTACAATAGCTAAGATTTGGAATCAACCTAGATGTCCAACAACAGTATGGGTCATGATGATGTGGTATAGGAACACAATGGAATATTACATAAGCAGTAAGTAATGATGAAATCATGCAATTTGCCACAACTTGGATGAAATGGAAAGATGTCATGTTGAATAAAGTAAGTCAGAAGATGAAGGATAAACACAGTGTGATATCACTTATGTGTGGTATTTGTAATGGTTTAAAGGAGGGAATGCCTAGATCATCCTTGATCCCACAATATAGGGAGAAGGAGGAAAGAAATCAAGTGGCAGTGGGGTGAAAGAGACTAAAAGCAATAGGGGGAATTCAGATACCTCAGCAGTGTTAAGGAAATATAGAGCTAAATATCCAAACCACAGAGTCAACAATACTGAAATTGTGAGACCCAAACTAACAACCAAACTTAAATTGGCAAGATGGCAGGCTGAGGGGAGAGGCATAGGAGCAAACCTGGGAACTTGGTAGAGAGAAGCTGACACCTATGGTGGGATTGGTGCTAGAACATTGTATGTCTAAAACCCAACTATGACTCACTTTGTAAATCATGGTGCTTCATAAAATACAACTAAAATAAGATAGATATCAGGACCAGAGAGATAGTCTGGGTTCAATTCCCAGTTGGACACCATCAGAAGCTACCTCTGGGCACAGAGCCAAAAAACAGCCAAAGCATCACTACATGTACCCCAAACCATAGTTACTTCTCAGTAAGACATCAGAGAATACCAAAAGTTTCTTTCAAACTTATTAGTTCAGTTTGCAAGAAGGTGGTTGGCAGGTAAGTTTTTATCTCTGTGTCTTTTCACATGGTGAAAATGAATTACTAGTTAATTAACGTAATTTGTTTACTCAAGTTCTTTCATACATAGGCCATGCTAGGAAAAATAATCAAGTGGGGTTCCCTCAAGAAAGACAAAGTCAATCACTGAGAGGCCTATCTTGTTTGCCTAGTGTTTAAAATTGAAACCAGATCTACGACTAAATTCAATAGCAAAATTGAAGACGAAAAGGTATTTACCTTGAAAGGTGGTTCAGTAAAAAATACTGATTCCTTTCCTGACAGTGGTGTAGAAGTAATTGATCTGGGGGAAGACACATCACTTAGCTGAAGAAAAACAAAATAAAACAAAACAAAACAACAAGTTTATGACCAATGATAAGGAAAGTATCTTCAAAGTCATTTCTTCTCCAATGACAAAGAACTTCCTATTGAATGAAAGCAAAAAATATAGTTATTTTATTTTTAGGGGTCTTTTTGTTGCTGTTTTTGGACACACATACTAATGCTCAGGGGTTATTCCTGGCTTTGCACTCAGGGGATCACTCCTGATGATGCTTAGGGGTACATATGGGATGCTGGGGATTGAACCTGGGTTGGCCACATGCAAGGCAAACACCTTACTTTCTGTAATATCTCTCCAGCCCCTAATTAGTTATTCTTCACTTTAATCAATTCAGGGGTAACATTTTCAAGGCAATGTTACCTCAAAAACTTTTTGAAAGTTTGCAGAGTAGAAACTAAACAATTTTTCTCCTATCTTTATTGGAAACCACTTTAAAACTATAAAACTTTTAATGCAGATTAGGATATTAGTGAATATATGAACACACTGAAATTATTTATCAGATGACAAAATCCTGTGACTGCTTCCGTAATCCTGCCTGGTTTTTTATTGACCATTTCATAGATACCCAAACTTCTGCCTCTATGCAGTAGACACTGTAAACTGAGAAATGAGAGCAGTTTTAATATTAGCTAACCTTCAATGTACTTGGAAGGCAGATTTTAACATTTTAAGAAACCAAATAAAATTCAATTTCAAGTAACCACCTCACCAGCAACCTATTTTTCCAAGCTTTATTAAAGCTTTAATGTGAGGAAGTAAAAATAGTCCAAGTTTATTATCATAAGAAACAATTTCCTGGCGTAAGATTTCAATAATGTTTTTTTAGGATGTTTGGAAAGATGTTTAGGACCAGAAGTAAGCCATGAGCACTGCCAGGTGTGACCCTAAACCAAAACAAAACAAAGCAAGAATCTATTCAGGGCCAACGAGCTTGTCCAGGGGTTAAGGTGTTGGCCTTACACACCTCTGGCCCTGGTTCAATCCCCAGTAGTACAAATGTTCCCGAGAAATGCCAGGAGTAATCGGTGAGCACAGAGCCTGGAGCAACTTCTGAGGACGGCTGAGTATGACTGAACACTGCCCCCCCCCGCCAAAATGTGATGCTATTCAACTTTTTAGTTGTGAAATAAATAAGAATTGATATTATTTCCATGAGAATAATCAAACCCTTTATACCACTATTTTTAACTAAATCACTAAAGAGAATTACAAATGTGTACTTAAATGTCATTCCCAAAACATTTGTTTTTTCAATGTACAACAAAACTATTACTCTTCTGTTGTATGTCTGTTCACTACTGTTTTGCTTTTGTTTTTACCTGGGTAGGACTGATAGGAGGTGGTGGAGCTCTGCGTTTTTTTGGAGTTCCACTTCTTTCTGAGTTTATTTTACAGACTTGGTCATGCTGAAAGTTATCACAGTTCAAAGAATGGAGGTGGGTTAGTTAGGTTAGTATAGTTCGAGCAAATAGCTTTTATAAACAAATGGAAAAAAAAATAACAGTTCATGCATTTCTTACTTTATCAAGATTTGAAATTAGCTCTCAATATAAAAATAAGTAGTATGCATGCCCCAACTTTTCTTCTAGCAGCCCGTGTTTTAATAGCAAGAAAATAAAAAACACCAGATTAAGTTGATATGGAGAAATGGGAGAGTCGGAGGATTAAGAGCTTTCAATAACAATTTAGAACCAGACTGTATTCACAATCTAGTTTCCAACTTCATGCAAAGCAGTGGTTATTTCCCAAACTTTGCTTAAATTCCTTTCCTTTAAAAAATATGAACATGGGACCGGGGAAGGCAGAACCTTATTTATGAAGGTTAGGTAGAAATAAGTAACACAATTAATCAAAAATATATTCATTATTGAATATTTGTTATGATATTTTTAAGGGATTTTGATGTGTAAGTAAATAAATGGAACAATCAAACATGTATCATGTTAATAAAGTAAAGAAAACTTTTTCCTTTTAGGATAAACTATAAAATGAAAGGGCAAACTTCTAATCCTACCTATGTAACACAATTAACATTTTCAAAAAGCCCAAATTAAAATATAATGGAAAGGTAAATCTCTTATTTTCATCAAATATCTAACATTTCAGGAATGTGGTTATACAGTGCATATGGTATTATAAGTATTCAAAATACCATTACTGAATTTCAGATATTTAAATCATATTTTCACACCAATAGAAAATATTAGTACATCCCAGAAAAAGATACATATAAGTCACATGCTTTTGAAATAGAGTAAGTCACTAAAAAACAATTATCATCTTAATAAAAATCCTAAAGACATTTCATTTCTTAAGTATCTTCAACATAGCCTTTTCACTTTTCTAGCAGACCAGTGTTTTAATCAGAAAGTTTTCAAAATGCAACAAAGATTAAAAAAAAATCCCTTCCCCCAAAGATAAATACCTGCTTTGGTTTGGTTGGTGTCTTTAAATCTAGAGGAGAAAGCAGGGAAAAAAATAACTATAAAAAGCATCATAACTCATATCCATTCTCATATTTACTTTGGTTGGGGGAATACACACAGCCATACATGTGTACAAGTATGTACACAAGCATATACACATACAACACATCACACTTCATTTTTCTTCAAGAATGTGTTTAAAATCATAATGAAATAAATAATATCACGCAAATTCCTTCATCCTTTGGGGAAAGAGGAGTGGATAAACTTAAAACAACAATGGCTGTTTTCTTTCACATACCAGCATCCTGAGAGATTTTTGATAATAGAAGGCTTTGAATTCCTGCATTCTCTGAGAGTCTGGAATAATGTAAGGCATTGTGTCCGAGAGAGTCTGTCAGGGTGAGGTCTGCACCCTTCTTAATTAAGGCGTCCACAATGTTAGAGTTGCCGATTTCACAAGCCAGCATAAGGGCGGTTCTAAAGAGAAAATGAGACATCAAACTAGTACTAATAAAATGAGGAAAACTCTTTCATTGGGACCTCATTCCAACTATCTTATAAAAAGGGAAGATTAAACCTTTACTACACTTAATCTTCTAGGGAATTCAAAATGGAATGCTATCAAGATAAAATGAGGTAGTTACTTTTGAACACTTTAGACGAAATGAAAACATTGAACCATATTATATCCAATAACACAGCCCTCATCTTCTATAATATAAATACAATGGAATTTAATACAGCCAGCACAAATAATGCCCTCCACTTTGATCTGTTTTAAGTGTCCATGCATTGCTAAGATTATTCTCCAAGCTGAGGGAGAAGGCAGCTGGGATAGAGAATGGATCACTAAGTCAGTGATGGTTGGAGGGATCACTCGGGATGGGAGATGTGTGCTGACAGTAGACGACAGGCCAAACATGATAACCACTCAGTATCTGTATTGCAAACCATAATGCCCCAACGTAGAGAGAAAGAAGGAAACTGCCATAGAGGCAGGGTATGGGTTGGGTGGGGGTGGGGATACTGGGGACAATGGTGGTGGAAAATGTACACTGATGGAGGGATGGCTGTTCGATTACTATGTGACTGAAACATGAAAGCTTTGGTTGCTCAATTTAAAGAAAAAGAGATTATTCTCCCAAAGCAGCAAATGTGTTTATCTTGATGAAAGTCAAAAGACATGACTTATTCAACTTTAACATTTAATAATCTCATCACAGACTCAGTCAGCAATAAACGTGCCAAGAGTTTGGGGGGAAGTTTCAAAACTCAAGACAGATTCTTCAGTATCAAAATAATGCAAAAGATTTTTAAAAATAAAGCAATTAAGCTACTCCAAGGGTTAAGGCACTAGCCTTGCATGCAGCTGAATCTGGTTCACTCTCTGATACTGCATATGTTCGCCCAGCAAAGCCAGGAATGACCCCTGAGCACAGAACCAGGGGTAGCTCCTGAACACTGCTGCCTGGTATGAACCAAAACTCCCTCCAACCCCACAAAAAACTGTAAAGAAATTAAAAGTTTTCTGTAACAAAGGATCGAATATCAGTGATCACTTGAAAAACTCTTGGAGCGTGGACATCACAGAAATCACGATTATTAATTCTGTGGTACCTTCCATTCTTATCCCTGGAATTGACATCTGCTCCGTGATCCAGGAGAAACCGACAGACCTCACTGTGGCCATTCTGTACTGCAAGAAGCAATGGTATATTTCCATCCTAGGAGACAAATTCAGATTAAGGCTTTTACTCAGGCACAGAATGCCTGAATTTGTAATGATTCCTGTTCCTCCTTTTTTATATTTTAGGGAAACAAAAACATTAAAAAATTATTTAAACAAGTTTAAAATAATGTGAGGGGAGAGAAAGAAAAAGAACCAAGTGTTCAAGAACCATGGACTTCTGCAGGCATTCCTGAATTATTCTGCTGGTGCTATGTTTGACCTGCCATGAAAATCTACTCCCAGAGGACCACCAGTCCATCTTAGTACGACTCTCTGGGAATTTCCTCAGGATTCTCCACCTCTTGAGCTGCTTATTCCCTTGTCACTCGGTCTGGTGATTAATATGTTAACAACAAATATCAAAGGCTTGAAGCAAGGCTACTATGTCTAAAAAGGGCTGATGGTCTTGGAGAAATAAAGGACTCATTCCAGTTGGCATCAGTAGGTCCCAGTGTATTCTAGAAGCTTTATCTGAGTGATCTTCACATATCCTGCCACTTCATTTTCAGAAATTTCACTCTTCTTGAATCATTCTAGGTATCAAAACACGAAAGAACTAAGATGGTGCCCCTTACTGATGTAGGACTTAAGGAAAAACTGATTCTGTTAATGTTACGACAATTAAAAATTGTTTCAGAAAAACAAAAAGATAGAGGCCTGCTTCACACATAGAATATGAAAGGTAGATTAGGAATTTAAATATTGCAATACGAAACAAATGAAAAATAATAGAATATTCAAGTGAGTGCTTTCATGGTCTTCTTGAGGAAGAAGACTCAAATGAAATGATACAAACCATCAAGAGAAGAATTTACTCCTTCCCTGAACATGACCCATAAAAGGAGTTGGCGGTAATTTTTTTTAAATGAAAGTATTCAAATAGGCAAAGAAAAAAGACCAAAAATTTCCCATTATTTCAACATAGGGATTTTTATAGTTGCTACTTAATGACAGTGTCTACTCTTCTTTGATCTTAGCCAAAAGGCCGAGAAGCAATATAGAGTCTACTCTTAAAGTAGATTTTTAGCCATATTTCTGAAATATTTTCTCTGGAAAGTTATAAAGTTTTCTATACGTTTTATACCTAGTTATTAACCACAGTAACATTATCAATAATAAAAATATTATTATTCAATTAGGAGCTTAAATCGCATCCCAGGTGATTTAACAGTCAGGGAGTGAGAATTTATTTGTACATTTTCAATACTCACTGTATATTATCCTTATCAGGAATAAGTGCCTGTCAATTTCAATGATATAGCAGGAAATCTATCACTGTAGACATATATTGTTTGTAAACTAGCCCAGCAAGGTTAAAATAAGCTAGAAGTGGTCCTCAAAGTTGGAAAATCCTGACCAGGGGTACTTAAGGTGAAACAAGATGAAGGCTAGAGAGAGAGAGAGCACAGCTGGCCCTGCATGCACCCAACCCTGGTTTGATCCCTGGCAGCAATATGGTCCCGGAGCATCTCTAGGATTGATCCCAGTCACAGTCAGGAGTGGCCCCTGAGCACCACTGGCTATGTTTCCACTAAATGGGAAAAGTAGAGCAGGAGATATGACTCAAGGGGCTGAGTACATGCCTTGTGTTCTGTGGGGCATGGGTTCCATCTCCCCTAACACTGCTAGGAGAGAGGCCCCAAGTCCTGAGCTGGGAGGAGCCTCCTGGACACTGCTGAAAGCCTGAACACTAGTAGGTGTGAGCTCAAAACAAAAAAATAAGTAGTAAAAGGAAAAGAAAAATGAGAAGGTAAAAGAACTTCATTTAGACTTACTTCTGGAGATTAAGAAAGTCAATCTTACTAATATTTAGGGTGATGGTGGATGGCATGTAGATTCATCGAAACAAGCACACATTGTAGGCAGTGCATACTACAAAAGGGTGTGGCTGACAGTTTCAGGAGCGGGGAGCATTAAGATTTAAGTACCAGGAGGTTTACTCCTTGGCTTAGAGGCCAGCTAGGGGAAAAGGCAGCTCAGACAGAGAAGGGAGCACCAAATAAAGGGTGTTGGGAGAATCCTTCCAGGATGGGAGATGCATGCTGTAAGTAGACTACAGACCGAACATGATTGCCACTCAATGCCTCTTTTGCAAACCACAGCACCCAAAAGGAGAGAGAGAACAAAAGGGAATGCCCTGCCACAGAGGCAGGGTGGGATGGGGGGGAGGGGATCATTGTATAACTGAAATCCAAGCACAAAAATTTGTAAGTCTACAACTGTACCTCATGGTGTTTCTACTAATAAAAATTAAAAAAAAAGTTAAGGGCATTTTGCAAAAGAGGATTCAATGAAAGGCAAAGGAATTTTGCCACAGATTTCGGTCTAAAGACTCAGTGACCCTTAAAAGTAGCCCTGGGTGCTCTTAAGCCAGCATCAGTCTTTCACCTCTTGTGGCCTCCCAGTACTTACCAAGTCCTTGAGGTTGATGGGGCTTTTGTGCTCACAGAGAACCTGCACTGCTTGCAGGCAGCCCTGCACAGCTAAGGGGAGGAAAGACAAAGAGTAAGTGACAAAACTGCTCTCACACCTGGGACACCCAACATACCCTGTAAGGAAACTACCCCAGTCGGCCCTTCTGAATTCTTTCAGTCTAGTTGCAAGAAGATGGTGCTCGGAAGCTTCTTTCCAAGGTATTATTTTAACTTACTGCTGAGTTTTGCAGGTGGGTATGGGTGTTGGAAGGTTGTGCTGTTGCCTTTAAGCCTGTGTTTATTTCAGCTTTTCATAAGATTTGGATTTTTCTACAACTAGCTCAAAACTTAGAAATGGAGTAGTCTCAGAGTTCAGTGTGCAATGTCTTGCCACATGAAGCATGACTGATAGTAAAAACATGGATGAATAAAACAAATTGATGCTCCTTTGGCTCTCCAAATCACAAACTGGAATCAGACCTTACCTGCAGTTTACAAATATTTATGACTATCTCTTTCATTTAAACAAGAACATTAAAGTACGAGAACCATGGTCATTTTCACTGGTAGTTGGGCAGGCAGCTGAAGACATAATTCCTCAGTTAGAATCCATGAATTTTGCAAATATTTAGGTTAACTGAGTGGAATGGAGATGTTTAGGTCATGAGAGGTCAGCAAAGTGTGCCAGGAATAACATGCCACATTAATGGATTGAATGAAAATAAAGCAAAAAGTTAACACTTTAAATTTTATTCATTTACTTATTTGTTTTTATAAGGCCACACCCAGAGTGCTCAGGGGGCTTATTCCTGGCACCTTACTGCTATATTATCTTTCCAGCCCCAAACATAACATTTTAAATTAATTTATTATATTTTAAAAGGCTGAAAGTTCAATTTTTTGAAATCGGGGTTCTATGATTTACGATACTGTTAACTGTGGTTTCTCACGTGCATTAATTTTAAAGTAACTTTCCCCCCCCCAAATAGCAGAATAAAATAAGAATGAAATAAGAGAACGGACATTACCTGCATAATGTAAAGCTGTTTTCCCAGAGTTGTCAGTACTTTCAGCTGGACATTTTGACTACAAGACAAAAATAAATGCATATTAAGAGAACTCAGTTTTTTTCTCCCTCCTGCTCCCACCAGGGATGATGTTACTTATTAAGAAGGGTCAGGGCATGAACAGGCCCGGCTCCCTGCTTCTGCAACGCCAGCTCCGGGAAGGAGAACTCAAATCCAGGGCAGGAGAGCTACTGGGCCGCTGTTCCCACCACCCTCCCTTCCACTCCTTCCCTCAGCACCCGCTGCCCTGGGTCATCCCCACCAGCTAACAAACCAGTTCTTGCCTTACCCATGTTGATGGCACCTCTCCCCCTTTTCCTGCCCGTATTCTCTGTCCCCTTCACAAAACCAGCTTTCTCTGAAGAATCCCCTAAGGTCCCTATCTTCTCGCCTTTCCAACACTCCTGAGCCCATCGCAGTGGAGCGTCACCTTCCATACACCACGAAGATGGCCTGGGTCAAGGTCACCAGTGACTTCATGTTTCCATCCTGGACAATCACCTCTGTCCTGTCTTAGCAACCTCTCACCTGCTGTCCACTGCCTTTTCCAGCACTCCGTCCTCAGCTCCCTGGGCCAGACCAGGCCTGGCTGATCCTCCCGCCCTGCCCATGCCTCAGAGCATCTCTGGGCCCTCAGTTCTCTTCCTCCAGAATCTCATCTGCATCCACAACTAAATGTGAATAACTGCCAACGTATCTTAACATAACAACAGGCGAAGTCTATTTAGTCACTCTGTACCAGCACAGCACAGACTGTGTTAAGGCTCCTTATGAGCCTCCGAGAATGTCTACTGCCCCCATGTTTTTCATGAAACTGAGCCACAATGAAGTCAATAATTTGCTCAGGTCACAAATTAAGTATCAGGCTCCGGTGTCCGACCCAGGCAGTCTGCAGCAGAGTCGGTATTCTTGTCCCTGCATGGCATATGTCCTCTGTTGGCCAGACTTGACTTTAATTTCATTTCAACAGCCTCATCAGCACCTAGTGACGTATTCGATATGCCAAACACAGCAGCAACAAGTCTCACAATGGAGATGTTACTGGGCCCGCTTGAGAAAATTGATGAACAATGGGAGGACAGTGACAGTGACAGTGACATCAGCACCTAAATCATGTGGAGTGAAACCACTGGGTTCCCCTCCGAATCTGGCGTCACAACCCACCCCCAATGTGAGAAGTCAGTCACCTCTGATCTCGCTCCCTCTTCTGGCGTTTCATCTTCGACCACATCCTGTCGACTCTGGGCTCATCTGCCTTCTCCTTGTCTGCCACTATCACCATATCTCAGGGAGGCCAGCAGCTTCTTGCCTGGCAGCTCTGAGGGCCTCCTGGGGATTGCCCTGGTACTGACTTTCCTCCCTCTCACTGAGAGATATTTCCATGTGGTCACTCTGGACTCAAAAGCCCTTCACTCCACAGCTCCAGGCAAAACTGATGAACAAAATCCAAGGCCTGCATCTGGACTTCTCTCCTCATTCCCTTACGTACCATGCCCACTCGTCGGCTCTTCTCCTCTCTTGTGACTTGTGATTCAGACTGTTCAAAAGCGTTTGCCTGAGCTTTTTTGCACCACTGAGTTCTCAGTTTATTTTTTTATTTATTTTTTGCTTTTTGGGTCACACCCCGCAATGCACAGGGGCTACTCCTGGCTCTGCACTCAGGAATCACCCCTAGCAGTGCTCCAGAGACCATATGGGATGCTGGGAATCGAACCTGGGTCAGCCGCATGCAAGGCAAAAGCCCTACCTGCTGTAATAGTGCTCCAGCCCGAGTTCTCAGGTCAAATACCAGCTCTGTCCCCAGGCCTTCCCTGAACAGTCGCCCTCATTGATCTCCCACAGTCCCCCGAGTGTCCTTAGGTGTGCAGCATGGACCAGGTGCTGGTGGGCTTCTTTCCAAGCTGCACCAGGGCTAGAACTTCCGGGGACTCTTACCTTTACTGCCTGACTCAGTGCATGGGCACAGCATGGATAAGGGAAAGCTGTGACAAGGAGTCACTATAAAAGGTGTAGGGCTGGGGCTGGAGGAATAGCATAGCAGGTAGGGCATTTGCCTTGCACACGGCCGACCCGGGTTCGATTCCCAGCATCCAAGATGGTCTCCCAGTACCGCGAGGAGTAACTTCTGAGTGCAGAGCCAGGAGTAGCCCCTGTGCAATGCTGGGTGTGACCCAAAAAGAAAAAAAAAGGTACAGGACTAGTGGGAGATTATAGGGGTCACATCCCAAGAGAATAAGGGTTCCCAAAAGAGAGGTGAAGTGACCAGAGGCCTGAGGAAAGAACCCCCTTTGGAGACAGAGATGGCTCAAGCGTCAAAATCTCTTCAGAAAGAAAAACAGCATACAGACGATTCGCATGGTGAAGTAGGCGAGAGCAGGTAAAGGAAAGAGTGGAGCCGTGCCTCTCTGGTCCTTGCCTGAGAAGAATGGGGATCAAGTCACGACTTATCATGCGCTGGCCTAATTTTAGAACCACACAAGGAACTGCTTAAAGGCTTCAAAGATCCCAGAGAAAAACCAACCATTTGCATAGTCAGATATAAAGTTACAATTCAAGGCTAGAATATCTGGTCTTGCCCCATGAGGATTTCCAGCTTGACAGGTTCATTCTTCCCTAAAATCAGAGTCAGATGCAAAGTATGGATCCCCACAGCAGAACAGGAATGGAGATTTAAAACGCAAATATGTTTGTTTTGGAAAAGAGCAGCGAAAACAGGAAGGTAGGTGATGGGGCAAATCAATGATCCTCACTTTTCTGGAGTGGACAGTCTGAGAAGAGACAGGGGGAAAAAGCTCCACCTTGGCTGAGGAGATGCTTCAAGGGCTGAAGTGCATGTGGGAACTGAGTCTGGGGGAACCCTGAAACTATATGGTCTCCCAAGGAGGCCAGATGTGACCTTCCCACCCTACGGGGGAAAAAAATTCTAATTTAATTGTCTTTCGTGAGAAACCTCATAAAAAATAAAAACAATCATCACAGCTGCTGATCTATTTTTTCTTGAATTTCACTTCGAAGATCCCTTCCAGTTAATGCGTTCCTGGCATTGGTGGTCATTTGCATCATGTAATGCAAGACAAGAAACTGGGAGATCACCAGAACAGAACAAGCTGAAGAATGTGACCGCACTGCTGCATTAGAATTGCAAAGACAAATGAAAACAAATGCTAGGCCCAACCTGGCCTCTCCACCGAGAACCAAGAACCTCCTGTTCTCCAAACACGTGTTTTACTGTGCTCTGTTGATCCTGAAAACAGTCAGCTTGCATGCTGACTGAACTGTATGGGCTGTTACTGGGCACTCAGTAAATATTCCTCTTTAAAGATTCACAGGAGTCATCACCTTTAGCGATCGTTTAGAATCGTCCTGCCAAGGTCATCAAACCACGGAATTGGCTTAAAATTAGAAAGATGAGTAAAATGATGAACTGAAGCAAAACACTAAGCCACATACAAAGGAAATCAGGGCCAAAATCTGGCTTCTCACATAGAGCTCTATTCTGACTAGTGACTAAAGGAGAACTTCAGGGTGCAGGCTCCCCAGTGGCATGGAACAAACACCATTTTTTGGGGTTTGTTTTTAACTATTTTAAGAGCACAAGCCCTGCGGAAGGAAAGATGCTGAATAAAGGCGAGAGCAAGGCTCCATCAGAGCAGCAGGAAGACATTCTAAAGACCAATTAGAAGCTCCCTCCCCACGAGGAGAGTGACACGGAAAGAAGCTCCTCGGGTGATCAGTTCAATAAAGAATGTACCTTGAGGGGATGGAGCTATAGCACAGCGGGTAGGGCATTTGCCTTGCACACTGCTAACCTGGGTTTGATTCCCAGCCTCCCATATGGTCCCCCGAGCACCGCCAGGAGTAATTCCTGAGCGCAGAGCCAGGAGCAACCCCTGTGCAATGCTGCGTGTGAACCAAAGAGAGAGAGAGATAAAAAAAATGCACCTCGACAGTTCGGAAGAGCTCAACAGACTGAGCACTTACTCCACATGCGGGAGACCCAGGTTTGATTTCAGGCACTGCATGGTCCCCTGAAGCACTGAGCCTCAAGTAGCCTCCAAGCCCTACCAGGTATAGTCCCCAAACCAAAACAAGTAAATAAATTATCTATCTATCTCTATCTATCTATCTATCTATCTATCTATCTATCTATCTATCTATATCTGTCACTGTCACTGTCCTCCCGTTGTTGATCAATTTTCTCGAGCGGGCCCAGTAACATCTCCAGTGTGAGACTTTGTTGTTACTGTGTTTGGCATATCGAATACGTCACAGGTAGCTTGCCAGGCTTTGCTGTGCAGGCGAGATACTCTCGGTAGCTTGCCGGGCTCACATAGGAGCATGTAGGATGCTTGCCTCGCATATGGCTAACCAGAGTTTAATTTCTGGAACTCCATGTGGCTCCCTGAGCCAGCCAGGAGTGATCCGGCAGAGCCAGGATTCAGCCCTGAGCAGGAATTAAAGAAAGCAAACCATAATTAAGCTTGTTAGAAATTCAAGGCTCAGGGACAGTGTTGAAAGAGACAGTGTGTATATGTAGGTGTGTGTGCGTGTGTGCGTGTGTGTGCGTGTGTGTGTGTGTGTGTGTGGTTAGGGAGTAAGGAAGAAGAGAGAAAAGAGGAAAGAAGAGAGAAGTGAGAGTGAAGGGAGGGAGGGAGAAAACTGTATTCTGACTTCTCACAGACAAAATTACTTACAAATTTAAAAAAAAAAGTGACACATTTACAGTGTTTGCTTGCTGCTATTTTACCTGAAGGAGCTTCTTGACGCATTCGTGGTGGCTGTTCTTGGCTGCGAGGTGCAAAGCACTGTGTCCTAAATGGATGAAAGAAAACACAAGAAGGGGAGAGGTCATGCCTTGAAAATCTCATTCTTATCTCTGTAATGAAGACAACTATGAGGAAACAATCTGCTCCCAACAAAGACGGAATTGTTTCTTGAGAGAATAAGTCCTGGATTTCTTATCTGGAACCTATGTTGTGACAGAAGTGGGGAGAACCCCAAGTGAACGCCTGCTGCCTGCATGGCATCCAGGGTCCCCCTCCAACTGCTCTCTCTGGGCTGGTCTTCCGGTGAATGCACTTGGGATAGGTTCCATGGAAGTTGCGCTTAGGGCCTTCATGGTTTGCTCCAGGGTCTAGCCAGGGTGCAGCAACCACTGCAGGCAGCCAGCCTCAGGTCAGGGAAGCTCACAAAAGCTGACTCAGAGCAGCAGAAGCACCACCCTGCATGTCAGGCCTGACCTCTGACCTCCCATCCGCTCTCCTCAAATGGACCCCAGCCCCAGACAGAGAAATGACCTGGACTTCTCAGACAGTCCAAGTTCTTTTGAAAAGAGCTGCTTGAGCAATGATATGTCAGGCATTTCTGCATTTCTGAATGTTTTTATCATCATGTCAGATCCCAGTTCACCTGGAAAACACCTTATTCCACCCCCCTGCCAAACACTCTCATTTTTCTTGTGGGGGCCACATTGGTGGTGCCAGGCACAGTGGTCCTTGCATTTGCACCTTTTATACTCTATTGAGCCACTTCCCTCACACAACCATGTAGACTCTGAGGCCTACATCTTCCAGGTAATTTCTTTAAGGAAACTGCAAATAGCCAACCTCCACTTGGAGACATGCTTTAAGCAACGTGTCTCAGTATCAGAGCTCTCGGTATTTGAAGATGGGCTGAGGATGTTGCTGGGGGCAGGGGTGGGGATGGGGGGAGGGTTCAATGGGGCTATGTGCATGGTTGAAGTTAAACAGCACCTCTGACCTCTGTCCATCTGATGTCCCATTGGGACAGCCAGAAAGACGACCAGACATTGGCAGCTGTGCTCAATAAGCCATCACACCATTGAGAATCACTGGCTTAGAGGAATAATTCTCATATGGTGGCCGTCCAGTTTTCAAATACGATTTCTCTTTTCTGAATGACTCCTTCAGACAACTTGGAAATCTGTTAAAGACCTGAGCCTCCTATGGAGTTGTATTTTCTATGGCTGGAAAATAACACTAGAGGGTTTTAGGCCCAGGGTGAAGTGCGTACGAACGAGCATGTAGAAGGTCAAAAGAGCAGATTCCTTTTCTGAGATCAGATGTGCTGAGAAAATTAAGGGCACACACACACACACAGAGGAGTTGTCTGTGGAGGTGAAGCAATGGAAAGCAGAAACCCAACTCTCTACCTCCTGTCCAACAGGGCCGTGCAAGAGGTTAGGGAAGAAGGCCCTGGGGAGTGTGACGACAGAGCTCTGTGCTCCCTCTTCCCCTTGTTCTACTGAGACCTGCTCCCTCCAGGAAGACTGTGAGCAAGGAGTTGGAGCCCAGTGACACCAGGTAGTTGTAAGGCTCTCGTGGGCTAACCTGACCCTCAGCATTTTGGGGGACACCACCACTCTGAATTTTATACGAATGCCTCACAGACGAACTTCTGGAATCCACCCTGATTCTAAGCATTGTTTATATCATGTATGACTGCATTAACTTTGTGCTGTGGACAAAGAATGCACTCCCCCCTGCCCGGCCAGCTTTTTCCCTCTTTTGTTACTGGGTTCTCTCTTTGTGTGCTTTCAAGAAATCCCGAGAAAGCCGTGTGTGCCTCCTTGAGACCAAACTAAAACAAAAAGTCAAGGGCCGGCGTGCTGACCTCACTGCTAAAATTGGTCGGCGGAGGGGAAGTGCCTGGCAGATCCGAGACATTGTCAACTCCTGGAATGTTTGGACAAGGCTCTCGACTGTGAGCGCGACGGATTCCACTCATTGCACTCAGCACTGGAAACAAATGCACGGGCAGTTCCCACAGGCCAGCCCCCAGAAACATGCGGCCAGCCCACCCATCCTTGAGCCTTCGTGTCCCCCTCCAGAGCTGCGTGGTGGAGGCAGGACTCTCCCCGTGAGTGGGTTGGAGGCAGGGCCCATGCTGGGGCGGCCAGGTCGTCCTACCCAGGGCTTCACAGAGCTTGTGCACACCAGGTGTGTGGGGCTCAACTCACAGGGTGGTATGCGGTTGCGAAATGAACACTAAAGAGTTTCGGGGGTGGGGGTGGGGTGTAGGAATGAGTCTGGCAGCAAACTACTTTTCAAAGGCATAATCTACAACTTACTATAAAATGAGTTTCCTTGAGGTCGAACTATGCCAGGTAAAGATCTAGAAGGACATGTAATAAAAAGATATTTTCTCCCTGTAAGAGTAGAAGCACTGCAGAGTTCTATGTTCCTCGCATTGTTGACAATCTGAATGGATTACAGTACATTATTTTCTCCTATTGTACAAAAGGGACAGGAGGCAGCTATGGAACTACCTCCATTCCTGTCAAATTTTATTTATACATCTGTGTCTTCTGATTTGGGGGGCACACCTGCTAGTGCATGGGGGCTACTTGCCATTTCAATGCTCTGGAGTCACTCCTGGCAATGCTCGGGGGGTTATGTGGCACCAGGAAGCAAACCCAGGGCTCCTACATGCAAAACCTACATTCCAGCCCACTGACCCCTCTTGCCCCTGGCTCTCAGACCAGCTTCATAACATCAAATTCAGAAATATAGCTGTATTGGGGCTTCTGCCCCCGCGCCTGGGTGTTCCTTCCCGGGGCCCCTTGGAGGGGAGCGGGTTGAGCTTTCCTCCCCGCCCCGACCAGGGCTCCGGCAGCCGAAAGACCTCCAGGACCAGCCGCCACCATGCTGAGACCACTCTCCGCACACATGAAGGTACTGGCAGAGGGACAAAGCCACGCGGTTTCTGGGGCCGAGACCTCCAAGCCTACTCGAATTGGAGTCGAGCATCTTCCACCCAGATCCTCCAAATTCCAGTAGGCGGGGGTCACACCCACCACCTGGCCCCCTGGCGCCGTGTAATCCCATCAGTGGCCAAGACTCAGAGACTATAAAATCCAGATCCCGGACGAAAACAGTGCAGTCTTCTGCCCCCGCGCCTGGGTGTTCCTTCTTGGGGCCCCTTGGAGGGGAGCGGGTTGAGCTTTCCTCCCCGCCCCGACCAGGGCTCCGGCAGCCGAAGACCTCCAGGACCAGCCGCTACCATGCTGAGACCACTCTCCGCACACATGAAGGTACTGGCAGAGGGACAAAGCCACGTGGGTTCCGGGGCCGAGACCTCCAAGCCTACTTGAATTGGAGTCGAGCATCTTCCACCCAGATCCTCCAAATTCCAGTAGGCGGGGGTCACACCCACCACCTGGCCCCCTGTAATACCATCAGCGGTCAAGACTCAGAGACTATAAAATCCAGATTCCGGAACTGCGTGGCCGCATTTGCGGCCACGCAACATCTTATCAGAACTTTTTTTTTTTTATGACATCTTATTGTCTCATTCCTACTTTGGACAAACTTGCAGGCTATCAAATGTAGCCTGCCCACAGGGCAGAGTCTGGCAAACTCCCCGTGGCGTACCAAATATGCCAAATACCAGTAACAATGATGGGTCTCATTCTCCTAAAGAGCCTTGAATATAATCTCAGGGCTAGGATGAAAGAGACATTACTGGGGCCTGCTCGAGGCAATTGACGAATAACAGGGGCTTCCTTTTATTCTCTTGAAACTGGTTTTAGATTATGACTTCTTAGAGAAGAAACTCTGCCCAGAGGAATCCTCTGGCCATACCGGGGCTGTGGAGATTGCCCAAAGGAGCAGAGAATATGCTCCATGTGTGTGTGGCGCTAGACTTGATGCCAAGCAATGTCAGGGAGAGCAGTGACCCCAGTATCACTGAGCCCCGAACATCGAACCAGCAGGCCCGACACTGCCTGTGCAGGTATTGCAGGAAGTTTCTCTTGACTCCTGGGAGTACCTGGGAGACTGCCCCAATGCCCCTCACACCACTCCCAGAGGACACACCTCTTAGCAAGGGTGTGTTAACCAATCCTCCATCCTATGTATATGTGTGTGGTATGACTCTGACAATTGACTATAGAAACCAAGTAACAGAGTTTTGGAAAAGATCTACAACATAAATCTGTGTTTTTCCTCAAGGGAGTCACTGAAGGAAAGCATTCACTCTTCTAATGGTACCTACCACCATTGTACAAAGTGTTTTTGGAGCTTTCCACAGCACTCCTTAGGAAAACCACTGCAGTATTGCAACCATCCCTTATTTTTGCTTAAAATGGTCTTACCCATTTGACACGGAGTTTACCTCATTTGACTTTATGTGTCTCCTGGCTTGTCTCAGAACAACAACAACAAAAACCAAGAACTAACCTTTCAACATAAAAAAAGATCGCTAATCACTGAGAATATTCAAATTTTTAAAAAATGTGCTATAAACAATTCTGAAACCTAAGTTTTCCAACCATATTTTGAGCAATTATTATTGTAATGACTGATCCCCCTCTCCCAGATGATTATTCTGAGTGGAGGAGCAAAGTTTCTGTCGGGGAGGGAAAGGGAGTCATTATAAGTTCATAAAGAGCCAAGATAGGGCTGGAGCAATAGTACAATGGGTATGGCATTTGCCTTGCATGCAGCCAACCCGGGTTTGACCCCCTACATCCCATAGGATCTTCCAAGCACTGCCAGGAAAAAATCCTGAGTGGAGGGTCAGGAACAAGCCCTGAGCACTGTCAGGTGTGACCCAAAAAGGAAAAAAAAACCAATAAAAAGACTACAGAGATAGACTATTTCTTATTTCAGTAAAGACTAGCAAAAGTCAATGAAAAGGTAAAGATTTTCAAGTACAGTAGAGAAAAGAAAAGCCACAGTATTTATGTAGGTTCTTTGGTCTGGCCAATAGGGCAGATCCCCAGATTGGAGACCTCATAGGGTCTTTCCCATAGAACAATGTCCAAGAGAAGACCAGGGGCTGGGGAAGCCACACAGGGTTCAGGCACCCACTTAGCACACACTCGACCTAAGTTCCATCCTAATGCCATGTGACCATGTACTTTATTGGCCATCCATATGCCCTCTTGGAAGTATCTTTTGGGCTGTACTCAGAGAACCATAGGGGGGTGCCAGGAGCATCTCTAGGTCTAAGTCTGGGGGTTACTCCTAAGCATCACCAGCTGCAGTCTGAGGACTCTGAGCACTGCCAGGTGTGGCCCTCAGGGTCCTTGGCACTGTAGAGGCCTTGAAACACCACCTCCTCAGGCCCTCGCACTGAACTTCCAATCTAGTTCACTGAGATTCTCAGGGTGTGACTCTAGGGTCCTCTGAGCACTGGTTGGGAGGCCGGTCCCAAGAAAATGGAAAAGAATGCACTGTACCTATAGGCCACTTGCCTTCCTCAACATATGTCACCAACTGCCTTCACATCAGAATCACCCAGGGAGATATCCCCCCCTCACAAAAATACCAGTTGGCTAGCAACCTCCAGACAACGGAATCCGAGTCTTACAGGGAACAGCCTCAGCATATATGTGTGGGATGGTGTGGGGGCAAAGGGCGAAGTTGTTTATTTCTATATTTTTTCCTTCTCCTTCCCTTTTCCTCCCTTCGTCATCCCAGCTGAGCCCATCCTGCCTCCTTCCTGTTCCCATGAGACTCAGATGCACTGAAGTGGTGAGAGGCAAGAACTGCTGGCAACTGCTCGGGGAATCCTGGCTCTGAGTTCAGACCTCACTGAGACAGCTGGGGAAGTTAGTGCCTAAATCCTTCCTCTGTCACCTCACGCCATGCTCCATCAAAGCAAAAATCAGGGAACATTACTTGGTCTCTAAAATACAATCTTAGCAAGCAAGACATGAGGGAAAGATACGAAGATCGGGGAAAAGATAGAGAGAAACAGCCTGTAGCGGATAAATCACTGAGAACATGGAAACAAGCTTGTAAAGGCAGAGACAAATGAAGGAACTGTGTCGGAGCCTGCCACTGGAGGCCATTCCCTTTGCTCCTTCAGGCTTATCTGCAGATCACAAAGCACAAAGTTTCCACAATGACCATGAAGCACCCTGGGGAGACCACTCTCCTGCTGGTGTGCGATGTCAGAAATACCACATACCTGCAGAGTCCTGAGCTGCCACATCCACGCCATGTGTGATCATGACCCGAAGGCATTCCACATGTCCTTTGGCAGCCGCAAGATGAAATCTGGAAAAGAGGTAACACAAGCTCCTGAAGATTTCCACTCAGAGAGCTCCTTGCCCACATCTCCTGCCTCTGCTTGTATGCCCTTAGCTTGAGCGCCACAACCATTCAGCAAGCGATTACCACTGCCGACCTCATTCTAAAAATGAGGAGGAGGCTGTGAGGGGTCCATTTGCTCACAGACACTTATTAAATACTGAAAGCAGGAGCCAGAGCCGAGGTTTTCAATGATATCATTTGTGTCTTAAGACACAACAGTCAGGGATGGAGAGACAGTCCAGGGGTAAGGCATCTGCTTTCTATGTGGCTGACTCCAGTTGGAATTATGGCACCCCATATGGTTCTCTGAGTACAACCCGAAAGATACTTCCACCAAAAGGACATATGGATGGCGAATAAAGTATGTGAAAGTGTTCACTGTCACATATTATCAAGGAAATCCAAATCAAAACACAGTGAGGTATCATCTCAAGTCAGAGAGAATGGCATATATCAAGAGCACTGCACACAGCCAGTTGTTGGTGGGGATGTGGTCGAAAGCAGCCCTCATTCACTGTTGGTAGCAATTTGCCTAGTTCAGTCATTTTGAAAATAAATAAATAAATAAATGGACATTCCTCAAATAAGTACATCTAGAGCTCCCATATGACCCAACAAGTCTTCTTTTTGGCTTCTACCTCTCCCAAACAGAAAAAAAACACATTAATTTAACAAGTTATATGCATAGCTGTGTTCACTGCAATGCTTAGTACAATAGCCAGGATATGGAGTCCATCCAATGTCCAATGACAGATGATTAAAGTCTGTTGTAGTATACAGACATAATGCAATACTATGCAGCCATAAGACAAAAATCATGCAGTTTGTTGCATCCTGGATGGAACTGGAGGGAACTGTGTTAAGTGATGTAAGTCAGAGGGAGAAAGACAAATACCTACTGATCACTAATCTGAGATTTACAGAAAACAGACAGGGAATGAAAGGTATCAAATGATGGCAAACCCATGGCCCTGGATTAAAAGGAGATGTTGGGAATGGCGGCAAGAGGCTGGACTGGTCAAGTCTTGGACACTTCGGTGGTTTAGAGATGAACTAACATGTACATCAAAAGCATAAGAGTCAGAACTAGTTTAAACTTGCTGAAAAGTACACACCATGTTCAGATTGTTGAGACCTGCCATTGAAAGATGGTCCTATGTAAACATGACACCAATCACCCCTGCTCCACAGAAGTGAAGCAAGCAGGAAGGACAGGGAGGACATGCAGTTCCACTTGGGACCCAGGCCAAGAGGTTGAGAAGGCACCACATTTTAAGACAGTCTCCACCATGGAGCCTTCCTTCCTTTGTCATATTCCTGAGGAGAAAGGTAATGAGACTTCCAGATTTCCCGCCGTAAGCCTAGTTTAATGAGATGCCTTTAGGACTCTGTCACAGAGTCCCTTAGTATCTGGGCCTCTGAATCAATGCCCAGGCTATATTTTTTTTCATCTGGTACTGGCATTCAGGGTCACACCCAACTAGCAAAGGGAAGATTAAAGTCTGTTCAAACCTAAGTTACCTTGACTCGCTACTTTAGTCCTGAGAATGAGTCTGAGAGAAAGGCAGTCTAGCAAAACAGGATACTTCGCTTTCTTGTTGCAAATCAGCTCAAATTTAGTGATACAGCTTTGGGAAGTCATACAACCTCTATGTGCCTAAATTTTCTCTTCTGTAAGAGTGAAGACTGACTGAGGGTTTTTTTGGGAGGTGGGGGGAGTTGAGCTACACCTGGTGATGCTCAGGAGTTACTGCTGGCTCTGTCTCATGATTTCTCCTGGCAGTGTTTGGGGGATCCTATGGGATGCTGGGAATCAACCTGGGACAGCAACCCTTAAGGCAAGTGTCCTACCTGCTGTGCTATGGCTCCGCCCCCTGATGACATCTGATGTGTCCTCCATCTCTACATTCTAAGGTTGGCCACCTGCTCTGATGTCTCCAATTATTTCTGCATTGGAACAACTGTCTGTGTATAATGTTTCTTCATGTTAAAAATTTACTCAGAGAGAGAGAGAGAGAGAGAGAGAAAGAGAGAGAGAGAGAGAGAGAGAGAGAAGAAAAGTGTCTGCCATAGAGGCAGGCTGGTATGGAGAAGGGAAGCTGAGGATAGTGGTTGTGGGAAAAAGACACTGGTTGAGGGCCCTCCCAGGGTGGGAGAAGCATGCTAAAAGTAGTCGATAGACCAAACATGATTGCCACTCAAAGCCTCTCTTGCAAAACACAGTACCCAAAAGAAGAGAGAGAGAACAAGGGGGAATACCCTGCCACAGAGGCAGGATGGGACGGGGGGGGGGGAGGGGGGGATGAGGGTGGGGGGGATGCTGGGACCCATGGGGATGGATGACGGGCACTGGTGGATGTATGGGGACTTGATCATTGTATAACTGAATCCCAAGCACAAAATTTGTAAGCCTATAACTGTACCTCATGGTTTTTCACTAATAAAAAAAAAAAAGACACTGGTTGGAGCACTGTGAAGCCCAATCACGATCAACTTTGTATCTTACTTTTTTCTGAGTATCTCACAATGATTCAATCATAAAATTTTTTTAATTTACTGATTTTATGCTACACTGAAACTTCGATCAGGTGCAATGACTTGTTTAAATAAAATTCCACATTAAATACAGCTTAACCAAAAGAACCTTTGTAAAAGTCTACATGATAATACTTTTTATTTTAGCAAGAAATCTGCCACATGTGACTTCACTGTTTAAGCTTACCTTTAAGCAAATTGCTTCCTTTCACGTGATTCTTTGACACTAAACTGATATCAAGGCTACTAGTCTGCCTTCAGATTATTTAGTTCTAAAATATTCATCCTCTTTTCTTAATATCTATGTGCATGATTCTAAGCTGTCCATCCTGCTATCTCCCTCAGAGGAGAACAAATTCTGAACTATCTAGAAGAGAAAAGCCACATTTAGCCACATTTTAGGCTACACCAGGACTAATGATTAGCACATACAAATAATGGAATGATAAACATGAGTAAAAAGATATTTAACTTTTATTTGAAGCATGCATTTACAGCAAAGCACATATTTATTTGTTTAATGCTTTTTGGGTCACATCCGGCTATGCTCAGGAGTTAATCCTGTCTCTGCACTCAGGAATCATTCACAGATAAATAGAAACCACAGATACATAAGGACAAGTGAACTTGCTTATAATTTTACACTACTACATGTATTTTCACCAGTAAAATCATTCCTAGTTGAGATAATTCAATTCTTGCACCATTATTTCAAGGCATTTCTTTTTTTTTTTAAATTTTGTGATTTGGTCACACCCAGCAATGCTCAGAGGTCATTCCTGGCTCTGCACTTGGGAATTACCCCTGGTGGCGCTTGGGGGACTATATGGGATGCTGGGGACTAAACCCAAGTCAGCTGCGCACAAGGCAAACACCCTCCCCGCTAGACTATTCACTCTGGTCTCTCGAGGTATTCCTTTTTTTCTTTTTCTTTTTTTTTTTTTATTAGTGAAACACCATGAGGTACAGTTGTAGACTTACAAACTTTCATGCTTGGGTTTCAGTTATACAATGATCAAGTACCCATTCCTCCACCAGTGCCCATTCTCTACTACCAATGAATCCAGTAGCCCTCCCAGACCCCCAGTCCCCCCACCCTGCCCCACCTCTGGGGCAGGGCATTTCCTTTTGCTCTCTTTCCTTTAGGGTGTTGTGATTTGCAATAGAGGTATTGAGTGGCCATCGTGTTTGATCTATAGTCTACTTTCAGCACGCATCTTGCTTCCTGAGTGAGTCCTCCAAACACCCTTTACTTGGTGTTCCCTTCTCTATCTGAGCTGCCTTTACCCCCAGCATGTGTTGCCAGCTTCCAAACTGTGGAGCAGACCTCCTGGTACTTATCTCAACAACTATTCTTGGGTGTTCGTCTCCCATTCTGTTACTTTATATTCCCCAGATGAGTGCAGTCTTTTTATGTCTGTTCCTCACTTTCTGACTCATTTCACTTAGCATGATACTTCCATGTAGAACCACTTGTTTGCAAATTTCATGACTTCATTATTTCTAACAGCTGCATAGTATTCCATTGTGTATGGAAAACCAAAGTTTCTTTAGTCATCTGTTCTCAGGCACTTGGGTTTCTTACAGATTTTGGCTATTGTGAACAGTGCAGCAATGAACATACAAGTGCGGATCTCCTCAAGGTATTTCTTGACGAAGATTCTGGTTTCCTGGTATTCATCATGTATCACCACAAAGATGCTGCTACTTCTCAGATACACGGGCATGGGATGAACGTGAAACACTGGAGTTTATCTTTAGCCAGGACTTTCTGATTTTTATTTCCAAATAAGACAGTGACCTCGGTATGCATCATGAGCTCCAAACACTGAGAATGCATTTCTAAGAAATGGCAGCAAAGCCAGGAAACTGGCATTGTTTGCTCCTGTAGAATACTCACAAATACTGTGCTTCCTGTCTCCACACCCCCACCCCAGCCAAAGCTCCCCTGTACTTTTTCTCCCTGGGGTTTTAGAGTCCAGGAGATATGCATCTAAAGACCTCAACTCAAAGGTTTGCTTTGTCCTTTGGTTGATGGTTGAGTTGGGCCAGTAAGAGGCACTGAGAGAGTCAGGAAGATGAGAGGAAAGTGTGCCGGGACTCGTTCCCTTCTTCCTCAACTCCCCCATGACAATCTCTCTCTATGAAGCACACAGCTCTGCACCAGCTCTACCACAGCTGCCACAGTAGCTCTGGGAACTAGTTGCCCACCACCCCTTGTCCTAGTGGCAACTAGTAACCCTACACTAGGGCTACACTCTGCTGAGCACTGACAGACAACAGCTCAGCCCTGTTCCCACGCAGGTTAAAAAAAATCAATTGTTTCTGGAATAGTTTTAGGCCAATGTAGAAATCAGTTTAGCAGCTGAAGAGATCACCTCCCCAAGGACGAAAACAACTGATTTCAATGAAAGTCAGCACTCAGTTTA